CATGAGGTCTCTGAAACACATAGAAGCACCGACTGACTTCACATCAGTGATGAATATTAGCATCTTGTTCCCCGTGCTGAGAGCAGATCAAGAATGAATATATATGTATATATATGCATGTGATCACTTAGCCCATCTGATTTACTTTTGAAAGTATATTTATTGATTTATTTTCCTTACATTGACTTATACGTTAATATATTAGTTCGTACATAACAGAATTTATGTTTACATTGTTTTAGGTGAGTAGCACTTTTTACTTATTTATTAATGTACTTTGTTACTTATGATTATATATAAATATATCCATATATCGCAACATAACGTATCATCATTGAACAGAGCTTGGAATGACAGTCACCTATCTACCTCAAATTAATCGACTCTGAAAAGGCCTTCAACAGCGTTGATTGAGAGGTGATTTGGAAAAAACTTCTTCGCTACTACGAGGTGCCACCAACAATTATACACCTCATCCAACAGTTGTACGATAGATAATGCTGCATGCCAAATAATCCACAACGCGAAACTCATGGAATCCTTCGAAGTGAAAACGGGAGTAAGACAAGCTGACTGCCTACTATCTCCAATGATTTTCCTGATTATGGGTGGTAGACTGGATAATGCAACAGACACACAGTGGGCAGTGAGGGAACAGGCATAAAATAGACCCACACAAAATACTTAGAGGATCTGTACTTCGCCGAAGATATATGTCTGATTTCCCACAAACTGGAAGGTGTGCAAGTGAGAAGCAACAAGTTGGCAGAAAAGCCGTCAAATGTAGGACATCTTTCAAGTTAACATAGAGAAAACAGGGGTGATGAAGATTCCTGGCCAACAGCAACAGGAACAGATAACAATCAACTTAAAGTGGGGAAATCTGAAAGAAGCAACCTCCTTCACCTAGTGACCTGGGAAGCACCATGTCAACCACAGGCGGACGGAACTGATGAGGATTTCTAAGAGAGGATCGGGAAAGCAAGGCAAGCTTTCATTTTTCTCAAGTCTGTGTGGCGATCAACAGCACACAGCATGAAAAATAAGATTTGGATTTTCAACTCCAATGTGAAGTCAGGGCTACTTACTATATGGATCAGAGACTTGGTGCCGCGCCGCGCTACAAAGGGCACTTCGAGCAAGCTACACAGCTTCATTCAAAGCTAGGTGTCTTCGCTCAATGCTACTCGAGATTAGATCATCGACCAGAAAAGATCGACAACATGGATCTCTGGCAATGAGCGAACCAACCCAGGAGGAATCAGTTGTGCAACAAATATACAGGAAGAAATGGAGGTGGATTGGCCATATTCTGAGAAAACAGACCATCAAGTGAGTGACATGACACGCCACGCTCTCTATCTCAGTTGGAACCCGAATGGGAAGCGGTAATTTGGTCGTCAATGGGAGGGTGATATGGAGGAGGAAGTGATGCGAAGAGGAGATGAAAGCATGTGGGCAGACGTGGAGCCAGGTGAAAACGCTGACGGAGAACCGAACGCAATGGAGACGTGTGGCTGAAGCCCTATTTTCTTCTAGGGACTAAAAGAGATAATAATAATAGTAGTATGAACCGGGAGAGTTATAGACAGACTGGACTATTCAATTACTTAGTTCAGACATAGTTTTAGGAGTGATTTCAACAAGTTGTTTGTTAGCAGTTTTAAATTCAAACAGGTAGCGCACTACTCAGAGGTTCCCATTTTGTGTGATATAAATTCAGCCACTGATAAGGAAACTAGTAGCCCATCAATTCTAATCTCTGTTAGCTGGCGAAATAACGCGATCACCGGCGAATTCGTTGACGAATAGTCTCCTGAAACACGATTTTATGGACCCCGTTCTTGTAGGAGGTTGTGACCAGCGGGATCCATCAGTTTGGGTCTGAGGAGAAATACTAGTTGATGACATTGGCTGTTGATCGAGCTATGTATTGCAAATTAACGGAAATTAAAAGTGATAGACATTCAGCAGCAATATGACGATGCCACATGTCTGGCGATCTACAACGAATAACTCAGAGAAGCCTTCGAAACGAATACAGGAGTAAGACAAGCCTGGCTTCCTATTATCACCGATGATATTCTTTATTGTGGTCGACTAGATTATGTGTCAGACTGTGCATGGGAGCGAGGAGACAGGAATACGCTGGACCACCAACAAGAAGACTCTAGAAGATATGGATATCGCGCGTGGATGATATATGTCTAATGTCACACATACTCGAAGACCTACAGGCGAAAACCAACAGACTGGCAGAACAGGATAGCGACGAAGACAGAACTACAGGTGAATATGAAAGGGATGGAAGACGTGAAGGTTAACAACCAACAGCGACAACAATTATCACCAAGCATCATTAATGGAAGATATTTGACAGAGGTTGCTCTATTCATATGCGCTAGGCCCTCTAGTGGAACTCCAATGGGGAGCTACTAGTGGGTCGTCCGTGCGAGGATGACAAGAGGGAGATCGTACCAGGAGGAGATTAGAGATTATGGTCAATCGTGAAGAGGACAACAGAAAATCGGAGAAGGTGTGGATGTGTTGTTGAAGCGTATGTTACACTCGGAATACAAGGGAATAATAATAATATACAATAGTAGTGATAGGCCATTGGATTCTATCACGGTAACCGAATCGCTCACGGGCTCTCCTTGTGTCCTTAAGGTCCTAGGTCTGATCTTTGGTGAGGTCATAGATGAGTACTACTGAAGAGCCCCCCTAAGCAGTTGTCCAGTGATCTATGGTCGTCAGTGGTTCTCTTACTAGAAACATTTCATGATCAGTCTTGGAGTCAGTCAAAAAACCTTGCAAGCCAATACTTGAAAATCTGTAAGACCTAACTGGCGACGTATGTAACCACAAATATATTAGATTTTCGATGCTAAGTGTCTTCGTAGCTATAATGAAGTAGAGCAGATCAAATATTGAGTAATGCTACGATAGCACATTTAGTGATAGGTAACGAAGGTACTTCAAATCGAAGAAGATGTGCAAAATGTATCCAGTGAGGAGATTGGGATATGATATCTGTCTATGAAGCTAACTGCTGTGGATTTAAACCACTGCAAGCCTCAGGATACTGATAATCTACCCTTATTATTATATTATTAATCCCTTGGGTTCCTAGTGGAACATAGGGCTTCAACTGCACACCTCCACTTGCTTCTGTCTTCTGCTGTACTTTTCACTTGCATCCATGGTAATCCATACTGTTTCAACTCCTCTTCACACGATCTCCTCCATATCACCCTTGGACGTCCCACTCGCCGCTTCCCTTTCAGGTTCCACTCGAGCACTGGCCTGACGTGTGATTTCACCCAACGGCCTTCTCAGCGAGCGTTCAATCCATCTCCACTTTCTCCTGCATATTTGTTGAGCGACTGGTTCTTGTTCTGTTTGTTCCCATAGTTTCTTGTTTGTGAATCTTTCCGGCCATCTGATCTTCAGTAGCATAGAGCGAAGACAGCTGTTGTTGATGAAGGTCTGCAACAGGCTGTTGGAAATATTCTTTATGACACGCCAAGTTTCTGATCCATCCGTATAGAAGAACTGACTGAATTGACGTTTTTATTGAAAATCCTAATCATTTTGTTGTTGATGCTGAGTGACGAAGATTTCCAGATTGGTTTCAGGCTGATGAATTTGTTTCTCGCCTTCCCGATTCTCGAATTGACATCCTAGTGCATTCCTCCTGTAATTGAGACAATGCTCCCTAGATAAGTGAAAGAAGTAACCTCTTTCAAATCCCTTCCGTTGATGGTGATTGGCGCTGGATGTTGCTGTTGTTGTTGTTGGTTGGTTATTTTCATAACCTCCGTCTTGTCTATGTTCACCTGGAGTCCTGTCTTCTCTGGCTGCTTCTTCGACCAGTTTGTTGGTTTTCGCTTGTAAGTCTTCGATTTTGTGTGATATAAAACATAAATCACCCACACGCGAAATCCAGGTCTTCTAGATTCTTCACGTTGGCGGTCCAGGATATCCCTGTCTTCTCGTTTCCCACTGTCTGACGCATAATCCAGTCCACCACAATTAGGAATATCATTGGTGATAATAAACACCCTTGTCTGACTCCTGTGTTTACTCCAAACGCCTCGCTGAGTTTTCCGTTGTGGATCACTTGACATGTGCCGTTGTCGTACAGCTGTTGAGAATCTACCCTTAAGGCCTATTTATTTAAAGCGAACTATATTTCTCATTCATTGATTATAGTACACCAAAATACTCGGTCTCTTTTGAAATATCAGCTACTAGTTACCACAGGATATCGTAAAAGAGTCCCTCCAAGGGGCTGACATATCCACAGAGCTACGCGCTAAACCTCTAGGGAGATAGGTTTCGCCTTTACTGATACTCGTTTGAAAGATCTGTACACAGTGTCAGTGGGACTGACAGCGCCTTACAAATTCTATACCTGTATCATTCAGTGCCTAAGTCATGGGATTGTTACTGCTGACATATTTGCGTTGCAACTTACTTCATGTACAACTGCGTGGGATATAATAGCTGTTTAGTCAATGTTTCGTCTAATGAGGTATCTTCAGCAGTAAGATTTATCAGTTGTGCTATTTACAATGAATAATTTATTCTCATTACCCTACAACTTAATCGTATTCTTTATTCACTTGACATTTTTTACTTCTCTAACAAGGTATATATATTTTTGTTGAGATACACAATGGTGTAATAATATGCACCAATTTCAACGAACACTGATGAATATTGAAAATTATCCTTTCATCAAATGTCAAATACTGTTTTATTTTCAACTCATAAATTTACTGCTTATCATAACATCTTCACAATCATATTATGTTCATTACAATTTAAACAACAATATGAGCGAAATGTGGCGCACGAATTTGAAATCCACCATTATTGATTATTTACCATTGAATATTGAACAATTCACTAGTCTAACAGGCTATACAACAATACCAAGGTCTGAAATGGTAACATAATTAAATATTTCTCTCATAATTATTTGCATTTTTAAGTATATCTCACCAATTCAAATGTATCATGTGTATTCTGAAGAAGATGAACCAATTTATTTGTTCTGTTGGAATAATATGAGACAAGATTCAATGTTCACTGACAGTTTAAATTCAATCAATGCATTAAATTATCATACTGTTTGGTATGTTTCAAAAGGTTCTGTAGATGAGTTAAAGTAGGTACCTCATGTGGTGAATGTTTTCATAGCTTTGGTAGATATTTATATTTCAGAATGTAGAGTTTTTTTTAGATTTTTGGCTTTCATTTAGGCTTGGGTGTTATCTTTCATGCTTTTTCTCTCTCTCCAAGAAGTGAATTCTGTATGTAGTTTTCGATGAGAATTTGTAGGAAATTTCATTTGAGCTAGATGGTATGTCCTGTTCAGACCTCTTCAACGTTTCGTCGTCGTAACGAATACACTGGTGTTATCAAATAATTGTTGTCTTATGCGTGCAAACGATTTTAACCATTATTGTTCCTGCTGTTTGGTGGATGCCTCCCTGAGATTTCTATGTAAACTCTTTAACTCCGTATTAGGTTTCATCACAAGCCGTCATCAGTCAGAGAACTACTGAAAAATATTTAGCAGGGAATAATCCCATGAATCTCCTGGGAAGCGAGCACATTGTCAGTCGGCCATTGTTTTATCATTCAATGTTCCATGAATTCAAACAGCAGCCAGTGTCTAGTGGACCACGAATCTCATTTCACTAGCTGGAGAGTAATTTGTTTCTCCGGTGATCCAGTGGTGCTCGAATCAATTGCCATTGAGGTCGTTGGTGCATACTACTGAGGAGTCCCGTACAAGAAGAAACAGCACCACTTATTTCTCTCAGTGGTTCTCTAACTGATGTCGGTTCGTGTTGGAATCTGGCTTGATGTCAGTCAAATTCCTATAAGCCAGAACTTGAACTGATCTAATTTTTTATGTTAAAGTTAATAAATTGATTGTCGCTTGACTCATCTCACACAAAATCAACTAGAAAACCCCATGAATGTAAACTAAGGATAGGCAAATTTCAAAAGGACTATTAAACATCTAAGAAGTCCAGCTGAGGGCAGCATAGTGGTTAAGATGAATTAAAATAACCATTTCATTCATTCCTTTGGGTTCCGAGTGGAATACAGGGCTTCAAGTTTGAATTTTATGGTCATAGTAGCAGTGGTATTTCTTTTATGGTATGGGGTCACTAGCCCTACGCCCAGCCTTCTGTCATTACTGGGATTACTACCGGTTAACTGACGTCTAGCAGTGCATCGGCCGTGAATGAAACCCGGATGGTGTGCGTGCCTGGAAGACATTCTTCCACTTCACCAATGACCTAAACTAATTATGAGTCGATTTGTATTTCCTATCTACAAGGGGCGGCCCTAAACTATAGTAGCCTAAAACGAAACTACCCAGTGAACGGATTAATGACCTTGAGCGACCATTTAGATGAGGCCGTATCATATAGGCGGAATTATGGGCGCTGTGCACGAATTATATACCTAATTCCACCCAAATCTGGAATTTAAGTACTGCTTAGACCACAGGCTCATTGAAAGGGGATAAAACGTTTAGCTAACTGTCATCCGTGGACTATATTATTAACGTAGTCAATCGCACGAACGATTTAGTTATTATTATTATTTCCTTTAATTCCTAGAGGAACATAGGGCTTCAGCCATGCGTCTCCATTGCGTTCGGTTCTCTGCTGTAGTTTTCACCTGGCTCCAAGTCTGCCCACACGTTTTCATATCCTCTTCACATGACCTCCTCCAAGTCACCCTTGCACTGACAACCAACTCGCCGCTTCCCTTTCGGGTTCCACTCGATCGATGGCTTGTCTAGTGATGTCACTTGATGGTTCGTTTTCTCAGAGTATGGCCAATCCATCTCCATTTGTTCCTGCCTATTTGTTTCACGATCGGTTCCTGGTTGGTTCGCTCATTGCCAGAGATCCCTGTTGCTGATCTTTTCTGGCCGGGCATCTGATCTTGAGTATTGAGCGAAGACAACTGTTAATGAAGGTCTGTAGCTTGTTTGAGCTGCTCTTTGTGACACGCCAAGTCTCTGATCCGTATAGTAGTACTGACTTCACATTGGAGTTGAAAATACGGATCTTATTTTTGACGCTGAATGCTGTTGACCTCCACATAGACTTGAGAGAAATGAAAACTTGTCTTGCTTTTCCGATTCTGGCTTTGATATCCTCGTCAGTTCCTCCTGTAGTTGAGACGATGCTTCCCAGGTAGGTGAAAGAAGTTGTTTCCTTCAGGTTCCTCCCATTTATGCTGATTGTTGTCGGTTGTTGCTGTTGATGTTGGCCAGGAATCTTCATTACCTCTGTTTTGTCTATGTTCACTTGAAGTCCTATCTTTGCTGCTTCTTCTGCCAATTTGTTGCTTTTCACTTGCATATCTTCCAGTTTGTGGGAAATCAGACATATATCATCGGCGAAATCCAAATCCTCCAAGGCTTTTGTGTCGGTCCATTTTATGCCTGTTCCCTCGTTGGTTGCCGTTGTCTGCCGCATTATCCAATCAACTGCAATCAGGAAGATCATTGGTGACAGTAGACAGCCTTGTCTCACTCCCGTACACACTTCGAAGGATTCCGTGAGCCTCCCGTTGTGGATTACTTGGCATGCAGCGTTGTCATACAGCTGTTGGATGAGATGTATAATTGTCGGCGGCACCCCGTAGTAGCGAAGTAGTTGCCAAATCACCTCTCGATCGACGCTGTCGAAGGCTTTCTCAAAATCGATGAAGTTGAGATAGAGAGGTGACTGCCATTCCAAACTTTGTTCAATGATAATCCGTAGGGTGGCGATTTGGTCAATGCATGACTTGTTCTTCCTGAATCCGGCCTGTTCCGGACGAAGTTTTTCATCTAGGGCTTGTTTAATTCTCTCCAGGATGATGCGACATAGTATCTTGCTTGGAATGGACAGAAGCATAATTCCACGCCAGTTTTTACATTGACTCAAATCTCCTTTCTTTGGCAGTTTGAATAAGTATCCGTTCTTCCAATCCTCGGGTACTTTGCCCTCTTTCCACACCTTCTCTAGTAGTGGCGTCATCAAGTCCGCTGTTGTCTCTGGGTCTATTTTCAAAGCTTCTGCTGGGATTCCATCTGGTCCTGGCGCTTTCCCAGCTTTTAGCGTCTTGATGGCATTCAGGACTTCGGATTTCGTCGGAGGGTCGATGTTCATTGGTAGTTCTGCTTCCGTTGTTGGTATTGTTGGACGCGTTGTAGGTGGCGGACGATTTAGAAGTCTTTTGAAGTGTTCAGCCCAGTGCTTCCTCTGTTCCACCTCTTTGGTGATTGACTTTCCATTGTCGTCCTTTATTGGCTTAATCTGTGTCGAACTTTTGCCCGAAAGTTGCCTAGTTGTTTGGTATAGTGTAGCGAGGTCTCCTTTGCCTGCAGCTTGTTCTGCTTCGTTTGCCATGGTTTCACAATATTTTCTTTTGTCTTCCCTGGCACTTTTCTTCACTCTTTTGTTCAGTGCATTGTAGCTTGCATTCAACTCCTGTTTCTGTTGCTCTTCGGTGCACTGGATAATCTTTTGTTTCGCCACCCTTCTCTCTTCTATTAGTTTCCAGGTGTCCGTAGTGAGCCATTGTTTGTCCTGTCTCTTTTTTCTGCCTAGGACTTCCATGCAGGTTTGACTCCACATCGTTTTCAATTTGTTCCAGTGCTTTTCGATGCTGACCTTTTCGTTGGTGTTGATTTGTGTCTCGGCTTTTTCCCTTATGTTTGCAATGAAGATGTCCTTTGTAGCCTGGTCCTTCAGCTTTTGAGTGTTGAACTTGGCTTGTGGTCTATCTGCAGCTCCTGTTTCCCTGAAAGCTTTTAATTTGATTTGGATTGTCACGAACGATTTAGTTAATCCTGTCAATGCGACCCCCCCCCACAAATTGCATGAAGAGTTTCTAGAGTCACCTAAAAAAGAGGGTTGAAGCGGTGAATCAGTCAAGAAACACGATGATCTACAGTTATCTCGAGGAATTCACGCACCAAAATTGGTTTAATCCAGCTATGAGGACTCTTATGAGAAACTGGAAGCTTTTCTTGGAGCATTTACAAGGAAGTTATTCTATATGACTACATTTTAACGTTGCATTACGTATATAAAAACTTCTTTTTCAAATTACGCGCCTCTGCCTCGGAAGCATCTGATTGGTCGGTACAGAATTGTCAAGGTCTTTACTAGGTGGTTTCGTTTTGGGATGTTATAGTTTAGAGTCACCCTTCAAGGAATAGACCACAGATATTCATAAACATTTTGATAAACTCATTTTTTAATCATGTAACCCTGAACATAAGGCGAAGGTTGACGTTGATGGGATAGAGAGGAACAGTTTAAAGCTATAAAGTAAATTAAACTGCTAAGACTGTGTGTAATTTTCCAATCACGAAGGAGATTGGAAACGCTCACGTGAACATTTTTGGTTATAGTTGTGTTCTCACAGATGAAAGGCTTGATTGAGCAGACTTCATTTTCCTTCTAGACAACTTCTTCAATGCTAACTTTCTTGGATCAGTGTGTTCAATGTCTTATCGGTTAGCTCAGTGAGCAAGCCAGATCCATTGTCATTTGAGTTGATTTGGGTTTGAATTTCTAATTATAAACTCAAGTTTATAGGAAATAATTTCACACAGACCAAATACTCAATTACAACAGCAACAACCCAAAAACACACAAAAGGAGTTGTATACAAACAGTGGACGATGTCCTTTTAGTCTTCGTATCCATCGTCATAAACTGGCCGTCAAAAGAAATGAAATCCACTCCTTCACGCATATCGCTGCATACAGACAACCATAGACATCAATTCGAGTGGAAAAACGTTCACATATTAAACAGTGGAAACACCAAGAATGTTAGAGATTTTTTAGAAGCCTGGTATTTCAGTGAGTCGTCAATCAATAGACACATCGAGATAGACAAAATTCACCAATCGATAAGAAGGAAATCTAATACAAAAGGGTGAAACCGCAGGTCAAGCAAACAATCAGCAACAACACCAATACAAGTAGACTAGAGGCTGTGAAACCACACGAAAACAGCCAATCACGTCCAAGGTCACCCACCAGGAGAGATGACTAATAGTGAACCCGTGGAGAAATCTAAAAGTTCACCTCATCAAACTGAAGTGTGCGCTGAAGATGTTGCCTAGTAGGGCAATGAAAGCTTTGCAAATAAACCATCCAGCTCAGAAAAGCCAACTACATCAAGAGTACTACTCAGTGAAGAAATTTGGTTGCGAAGATATATATTCCTATAAAAGAAAAGTCCTTCAGCAATATTATTATCAAGTTGTACCATTGCATATATATGTAGTAAATTGTCTTAACAGCAAAATGAGTATTTCCAAGGATGTGCCATTAGGACTGTAAATTTTAGATAAAAAAATTACGCGTTGTAGAAAGCGTTAATGCGTTAGAAACTAAAATACGATCAAATAAGTAAGTTGGGTGACATAATCTAATTGACGGGGTTGAGTAGAGCTCAGCTAAAATTAAAATTGAACAAAAGTCAAGTTAACAACAGTGGCAATGAGGGGTGGGGAAAAGAAAATATTATAGAATTAAGAAACAAACAAGCAGGAAAAAGACGAAACAAAAATTACATATTTGGTGTTAAGATAGATGAGTCAGGTCCACTGTAGATTTAATGACTGAACACACTTCGTTTGTATGCAGAGTTCAGAATTTAACATGTGTTTGATTGGCATTGCTTCTGCGGTTTGAAGAAGTTTAATTAGTACTCTTTTAGCAAGATTCCCACGTATTTTGTAGATGACTTTGAAGTTACTTTTTAGATTTGCTTGGTATCCTGAATCGATGAGGTGTTCCAGAATAGAATTTAGGGGGACTTTTCTCTCCTTTATAAAACGATGACTGTGGGTAAGTGTTGTATGATACGTTTGGATAGCAGACGCCGGGTACGGCCGACATACGTAGCTCCACAGGTGGGGCAGGTGAATTCGTAGATGCATTTATTCCTTTCCACGCAGTTCCTTACCAGAAACTCAAAATTATATTAACGATGTGATATATTATTGTCAGTAAGTGAAATAGGTGGGGGAGGACATAATAACCAAACTCAAATTTAGTTCATTTTTAGAAGTTTACTACAAGTTATTACACAATCACTAATTTGTAGGATAAAGATAACGGGGAACAATACAGAGATGAGTTACGTAGTCAGCTGGAATAGTAATCGTAATAAAATAACATTACAGTGTCAAATGATATTTACAAGGATTAATGAATAATCCCCATCCAGACATTATTGCGAACAAAACATGGAGTTCATTGAAGAGTCTCTTTTCCGTGGCAAATTCATTCACTTAGCTGTACAATCGCAATTATACATACCTATTTTTGTATATGTGTGAACATTAGGTTTGTCCGATAAGAATAAAAATGAGTTAGGGTTATTGTTGTGAAGACATCTCAAAAGTGTGATGAGTAATCAAATTGTAACTAGGCCTGGGTGGGGGTGAAGATTGGTAAGAGGGTAGTGGCGATGTCTTGTCTAAAAACGTAGTTATTAGTGTTAATAAACACATAAAATAAATTGGCTAAGCGTAGTACATGGCTACAAAGGGCAATAGTTAGCTGTATAACGAGTGCGATAATTGAACATTTCGTCAACACTGGTCATACCATCTCAACAAACACCTCCTTCAAAGTGATCTACAAAGTGAAGAACAGCCTACCAAAGGCAATGCGCTTTCGCCTCCTCCTTATTGCTGAAGCATTAGACATTCAGTTGGAAAAAAGCCAAAGTTATGTATACAAAAGAAAACCATCCAATCACTTCTAATATCATGGTAACAACCGTGTTGACTTCTACTCACTCGATTTTTGATTTTCTAACTCCTTATAACATTTGCAATTTTTAGAACTTCTACATAATTCCATATTTTCCTTTATCTCTATGTGCATCCTAATCACAACTCACTTATTAAACTATTCATCTTATTACCTAACTGCATTACGCTTACTCAACCTCTTTTATGTGTTGATTAACATTAATAACTATGTCTTTTTTTGAAAACACATCACCACTACTCCTTTACCAATCTTCAACCCACCGCATCCTAGTTACACTTTAATTACTCATCACACTTTTGAGATGTCTTGACAACAATAAACCTAACTGATTTTTATTCTTATCGGTTAAACCTAGTGTAAGCACACATATACAAGAATGAGTATATGCATTTGCGATTGTACAGCTAGCTAAGTGAATGAATTCGCCACAGAAAAAAGACTCTTCGCTGAACTACGCATTTCGTTATAAGGATAGGCGGGAAAATCAATTTGCAGGACTTTACTCATATTTCATACAACCAGTTCCTCTGATTTGTTTGAACAAAGGTAGAACGAACACATATATTTCCGGGATAAAAACAGTTCATGTTTTTATTTCACCACCTTTCATGGGTTCGAAGCCCGGATGTTAGGTAATGCTTAGGAGTCCCATACTAGGGCCAAAAACAGTTATCCAATACTCCTTTCTGGTTCTCCAATGCTTCTCCATCTGATATCGGCTTGTAATCAAACCCATAACCCAATCGAAATCCCTACAAACCAACACTTAAAGGAAAGATAGTCGGCAGTCTGACAACTAGAGTTTATTTGTGCATAGTTTGGTGGAACGTCCCAGAGGAGAGGATGGGAACGGAATAAGATAAAAAAAGTAAGTAGAAGTAAGTTGGAAGACTCCATTACTATACCTTTTGAATTTTTTCAATTAATTCTGTAGCATGTTGTACATTTTTGCATTTTTAATAACTTATATCATTTTTAAGCTGTCAGCAGATGATGAAAACATGTAAGGTGGACACATAAGCTGTTTTCATTCTGTAAATACGTTCGTTCTCTCTCTCTCTGTTCACTCTATTCATGTTATGTGGACAATGATGACAAAGAAATGTGCCGTGCATAAAATTTTTTTCAACACACAGATTTGACTTGTTCAGACTTGTTCGCCTGTGATGCATGTAATAGTCATACTCATAAAGCATTAGAAAAGGTTGATGAAATACGGCGAGTAACTTTAAAAGCTTTGCTAGTGTCAACCTGATGTCAACCTGTTTCGACAATGTGAATTAGTATTGAGCTGCGTATACCAGCTTTATTCACTCCTTTGCCTAACCGATATAAATATATATATATATATTTTATGAAAACGACATTTTTTTATCGTATAGACAGATATACTACTTATATATTTATATAAGTCTATTTCATTCCAATAATTTCCTGGTTTTTCTCTTTGTAATTTACAGATTGGCCAGAGATGAAGGTTATGAAATAGTAAATGAAATGCTCAGAGTCTATCCAGATGAAGCATACATACGAAAGGTTAGAGGCTGTTGAGGTTTTTTCTGAATCGCATGTTAACTGCTGTTTCTGTTGGATCGAAGTGCTCGATCTCTATTAAACTTTCTCGCCTCATAGTGTAGAGACTTCCTTTGACCGATATCTGCAGACGGAGGTGATATGACGTAATTGTTTAGGCTAGTTTGGTTTCCTCTGGCTCGTTGATGACTGATTGTACTGTAATGTTTGACCTTTCGTTGATATGCGGCAGCTCTTACTACTGGGAATTACAGGTACATGCGGATGATGAAGCTCAAGTAGGAAGAAATGCGCATTTTGGATTTCAGTGTTAGCCATCATTTAACAAAATGACATCATGAGATTATCTAACTGACAGTGTTTGAAAGTGGAATCTGCGGTGTGTATTTTTCTGATTTGTATCTCGTTAGGTTAGAAAAGTGTCACATTGTTATAGTGTAATAACATTATGAACTCCGCCAGAAGGGTAAGTAGGAAAGCTGTACAATAAAGATCATATAAAACAGATACTTTTTCAGCCCACCTCATCCCCCAATCTTGACTACATATTTGTTGCTGTAACCATGAATTAAGAAAAGAGTATTATACTCCATTTCACTGTTTCCAACTGGTTAGTTGGCTAAAAAAGCACTGGTTTCAACGTAGAACTTCACACAGATGCACAGAAGTTCGATTTGCCACACTTCCTCCATATACCACATAAAGTAAGCGAAGACAGTAAGGAGAGATTCAAAGAGAGACATAATGAACAGAAGTGTAAGTGAGTGAAAGAGAATAGTCATATTGACAAAAAGTAGTGCTTTTTGGATATGATAAATCACAAAGAGTAGTGAATGCATCTGTACCAGCCATTGAGAACGATTTTGAGCCATATCATCAGTTGTCTCCAGCCTCCATTTGTATCTACCATCCCGAGGACTCCACCCAGAAAGTCTGCACCTCACTACGTAACTGGCCGCTTAGTACTCCGTGGATTTCATTGGTTCTCCAACAAATTGCATAATAACATTTTGTTAACCTCCACAAATTAAATGATCTTGAATTTCTCAGGTAACTGTCTCTACCCCTCTCACATACCTTAAAATTGATAATTCTTGTTGAATAACATTACCATATGATTGGTATATTTATGATATATCCGCATATATATATCTTATTTAAAGGATTTATTACTTCTATGTACTAGCAGTGTTAGGTTTACATTTGAAGAGGATTATTTTCGACAGGTTGATGGTTTTGCTATTGGGAAGTCCGTTAGGGCCCCTTTTACCAAATACCTATATGTCGTAAATTGAGAGTTTATCGGAGGATTTATTCGAAAATGCGCTACTTTATAGAAGGTATGCTGATGACATTTTAATCATAAGTGATAAGTGTTGTTCTCAAATTTAAATCTAATGAATGAAGTTCAGAATAGCATATCACTTACGTCTGTAGAAGAGGAAGATAAATGTCTATCTTTCCTAGATATATTGCTTAGTCGACGGCTTGATGGGACAATAAAAAAGATCTATTTATACATAGAAAACCTACCTGGACAGGACCGTATCTTAATTACCACAGTTTCTACCCTGTTCGGTTCAAAGAAGTCATAGTAGGGTGCCTATTCGGTAGAATCCAATGCATATGCACTGAAGATACACTTGATGAGGAAGAACGAAAGTTGACACAAACTCTGGTTGATAATAATTATCCAAAGAAGTTCATTAGGAGATATGAAGTAGTTAGAACACCAAGACCCACTCTCCAACTCTCCGCTAGGAAAGACGTGCACATCAAGCTAACCTAAATGGGTGATCATAGCAGCTTGGTAATTCCACATAGATTAGACAGGGTGGTTGAAAAGATTTTTTATGCAGCTAAAATCCGAATAATAGAGAATGTGAAGCCAATATATCTATCTAAGCCCTTTGAACATGCGAAAAATGATGTTACATTTCACTGTATTTACCGATTTGAATGTAAGTGTGAACACACACACACATATGGAGGGCTCATCGATCTCTGCAAGTAAGAGATAGCTTCAGGAGCGATTAGAATCCCCAGAACCAATTAATGGTAAGAATTGACGACCTAGCTCCTCTATGGCGTAACATATCTTAGAGACAGGACATAAAATTGATGCTTCCACATGCCTTTTAAACCTATCTATAACACATGATTGAAGGAGGGCGTATACTAAAGTTTGTGGAAGTCCTAGCTGGCAATGAGGAAGTTTAAACCATCTTATGCGTTCAAAGCAACGACTCGTCATCACTCTAAACCTTGCCTGGTAATATTTGTTTAGATACTAGCCAGGGTTGATATACTATTACCTCTGTTATTTGGTCTAGTGATCTTCGTTGTTATTTTTCACCCTCAATATGTCCTTTTAACTTGACCTAAATATATTTCCTCACCTCTTAACTCTTTATTAATTTCATATATATTCCTATGGCAAGTCCGTGGAGTGTGATCAGACTGTTTGAAATGTGTTACGCAAATACATTACACGATTCAGACAAATTACATCTTATCGCTTTATCTAAATTCATTAAAGGGAGCTACTTGTGTAAAATAATACAGTATCATTACAACAGAAAGAATGTTTCAAAAGGTGTATTACTAAAATTTCATATGTTAGATAACAATCATGACATTCTTAAAAAAAATTACATCATGCATGAAAACTGATCAGTTAGAGCAAAATTAAGTAAACTGAGTCACGTAACATAATTGATAGAAGTGAGTAGAGTTCAAGTAAAATTGAAAGAAGGTCAAGTCTGCATTAGTGTCATAAGGAGAAGGTGAAAATTGTAATGGAAATACTACGTGTCAAGTGTCTAGACGAAACAGTTACAGTATAAGTTTACTGACAGCTTAACAAACGCATTAATGAGTATCTTCCTTCATGGTTCGAAAAAGGTCAAATAAAATGCATACGAAGTTCTATTTTGGCTCATTTGATTGATAGTCACCAAAAGGACAAAAATAGTGTTTTCAAAGTTATCTATCGTATTCCATCGAGTCTTTCGAATTGAATCAGAACCCGTCTTTTACACCTAGCCGAAGCTATGGGAATTAATTCGAGAGAACAATCCTAGTCTTTGCATACAAAAGAAATTTGTTCTACCTTTGTCTCTCCCATGCTTGGCCTGGGTGAATTCTAATCAAAACCCTCTCACCCTTTCTTATTTTTCCACCTCCTTCGTACTTTTAAAATATTTATATAAACTCTGATTATCGTTCCACTTTACCTTTTAAGATTTGACCTAATTTATTTATTTATTGAATTTTCTACAGTTTGGTTTGTAAGGGTTAGATATGTTTTTACGAGTTGATCACGGATTGATATCTAACCCTTATAAACCAAACTATAGAAAATTAATCTGATGCTTGCTAGTGACTTGCTACAGGATGGAGCTTCCTGCAGTTCTAGTGAGAAGTCGTGATCAGTGAGGTCCAATTTGATGTCACGTGTGTGGATGGATGTCCCACCAACGACAATTGTTGGGGTCGCGCTAAATCACGAATTGGTAGAAGTTAGAATTCATGAGCCATTGAATCGGGTCCCAGTGGCTGAATGGTATACGAGCTAGCTTGCCTTGTAACCGGAAGGTCCTAGGTTCGAATCCCAGTGGGTGCGTACTGCCGATGATTCCCAGACTAGGATGAAACAGCAGCTGTTCAGTACTCCTTGGTTTTCAATGGTTCTCTAACTGATATCTATCCGTGATCAACTCGTAGAAATATTTATTGAATTGTCTACATATACACACACATATTACTACCTTTGTTATTCTTATCACCTGCATAAACCTTATTATCGATATTTTGTTATCATTATAATCACCGTTATTAATTTCGTTCAAAACATTTACCACATTATTATTATTATCATTATTATTTGATTCCCAAAATCACTGTCATTGGTTAAAATTTTATATATAAATCTATGTAAATTAGAGTAAAGCCTGAAGAAGATCTAAATGAAAACAATATTGTTCGCTTATATGTCTTGTTCTAATATTACAAATGGGAATATTTAAAGATTTGAAAAAACTTCTTCTGTATTCACATTTCAAGCTTCAGAATATGAATTGTCATAGCTTTTACTGTTTGAAGAAGCCTGATACGTACGCCGTTGGTTAAATTCCTGCCTACTCAATAGACGACTCTGAAGTTGATTTACCAGCTTGTTTAGGTGTCCAGAATTGAACAGCTGTTCCCAAATAAACATATGTGACAGTCTTTACACTCTTGTATTAAACTGTGAGGGTGAATGTTCGACGATTCGTTTGGATAGCAAACTCTGTGTACAGTCAACAAAGCTGGCTCCACAGGAGCAGATGAATTGATCCAAACGACTGTACAGTCTTTTGATAACGGCTTCGTTGGCAAAGAAGAATTTTCTTCACTGAAATGCCTTTGATATTTTCAATTAATAAATCGCAATAGAAATGGAAATATGAATCAGAGAATACGTAGTACACTAACTGATCTAACTATTTAGCATCAGTGTTATGCCCCATTAGAGATAGGTCACATTATAGGCTAACCAGTTCCTTTGTAATGAAACAGAAACGAGAGGATATTCAATTAGAAATGGATGAAAAAAATGACTAGTTTTGACATAACCAGTCTATATGCTAATATTCCTATTAATACATTCCTGGAGGCAGTTAGGAATGAACCGAACCCTGATCCTGAACTCAAAAGTAGGACTAAGCTCTCTCTCTCGGTTGGTGAGATAATATTAAGTGTTCAGTTATATCTAGCCTCCAGTTTCTTCAAATTTCAAAACTGACTATTTAAACAAACGATTATACGGCCTTATAAGTTTCCAGACCATAGGTGTTACGAACTTCCTGGAATAATTTGAGCGCCGAGTCAGATTGATTCATTATAAATTATTTAAATTAATCCCAGCGTGTTAAGGAAATCAAAACGAGATTTTTCTGAACGGCTTTTTTTAACTTTCGTAATCAGATAGCTGGAAAGTGAATTAGTTGTGCTGTCTGAGTTGGTGGATTTAATTGCGAAGATTCAGTCGTCCGCCTGCTAGACAACATCTTCAGCGCGGATTTCAGTATAGAGTGGACTCATTTGAACTCTCCGTGCATAATATAATTGTATGTCTTGGCGACCACTATCGTGAGTGGTTGTTAATTTATGTCTCTATTGTTTATTTCTGTTATTGACTTGGAACTTGAACTTAATTGTAATATGCGTCACTTATTAGTAGTTGGTAAATCTGGTCTACATTAATATGCTTGTTAATCGCTGATTCACTTGAGTACCAGACTTCTAGGAATTCCCTGGCACTGCTTTTGGTGTTTCCTCTATTTAAAATTTCTACATTGTCCCAATCATCAAACTGGTGTCCATAATTATCAGTATGCATTGATACGAAAGAATACATATCATGCCTTTTTACAGCAAATTTGTGTTCTTGGATTCGGATTCGAAGGTGATACCCACCTTGACTGATGCAGTGTTTATGGCGGTTCATAGGGTTTATTTTGCAAATGTGGTCAATTTTATCATCTCTTTCTGTTGGATCTTGCGGTTTGTACAATATTGAATGAAGTGATTGTTGTTGCTTGTGGTGAGAGCTGTCTACTAGCCAAGTGGTGGACAGTAATTGAGGTCAATGTTTATGTATCAAATATTAGTCATGTTGTCGTGAGAGATGGTTGCTGGCCAAATTGGTTGACAGTAATTGAGGTCAAAGGTCAAGGTGGACAGGCGGTTACAGTTAACATATAGATGAACTGACACAGCCACAAGAGATGCAAGGTTAACTTTGTGTGAGAAACAACCAATCAACAGACTGTATTTTCTACTAACGATAATCTACAATAATGTACATAAAAATCTATAAATACGTGTTGATTTTTCGTAATAAACGATCTGTTGCCTGGCCCTTGTCTTCTGTTGTTACAGGCTTATGTGACACATCTGTTTCAAGCAGTCTTAATATTCTAGCTGTTCTTTCAGAGATCTTTTTTATATATGGTAGAATTAATCTTTTTGTAGTCTTTGATGATGGTTTCTTGTTGGTGCTATGACTCGATTTTAAACAAATTTTGATGAAATTGTGAGGATATCCATTCTTTTTGAAGACGGTTAGCTGGTGTTCTTCCCCCATTCTCTTCAACACCGGAGTAGTGCTACAGTGTGTGTTTGAACTCTTTTAAACAATGTCTGCACAAAGTTTCTTTTGTGGGTAATCGATCAAGTTATCACTATCATTTACCCCATTATTTCAAAAGAGTCGGAAAACTTACCGGTGACCCAGAGTTCTTCAGTTCAACAAACTTTTACACCTCATTGCTGTTTAATTTTCAGTCAAACCTTTGAAATTGTTTATCAGTACGAGATACACTCAACATTTTGATTGGACACTAGTAACTAGTGTGGTGTGTCTAGTCCTTTCTTTGGAGCAGACTGGATTTTATCAGTCAGATTTGCAATGTGGTCACCACTGTATGTGGCTCACCATCATGGTGCACATTGATTTGGTGATATTAGATAGTTGGAGGCAATCAGTAGGCAGGAAGCCTTCGACATCACCTAGGTTTCGTGCTAGTTGGCACTCATCAGCAAGACGTATCTGCAACCTTGAAGGAACTCATGTCTCCCTTCTGAGATTCGAATCCGCGTCACCCAGTGCATCTAATATCGTCAAACCTGACTGTTAGAATTCAGTCTGCATCAAAGATAGGACTAGACACATTGTACTAGTTACTAGTGTCCAGTCAAGGTTTCCACTACAGTCATTCCTACAGGAGGTCAGTCACGAGCCCAAATAGCTCAGTGGTAACGTCTCTGACTGCAGTACTCACTGGGTGACGCGGGTTCAAATCTCAGAAGGGGGACATGAGTTCCTTCATTGTGGTTGCAGATGCGCCTTGCTGACCAATGACTGCGAACTAGTACGAAACCTAGGTGGTGTCGAAGGCTTCCTGCCCACTGATTTCCTCCAACCATCTAACACTAGACATTCTACTATTTGTAGATAACTTGTTTAATCAATTTGCATTATTTTCACATAAATGTATGTCTAATATTCAATTGAATAATCTTCTTATTTACCTAATAGCATATATTATTTATATGCTCATATCATGGAAATCAATCGATAATTAAAACAGTACATCAGTTAGTTTATCATGTACCAAGACTACTCAATGAAGTGATATATCTACGGGTTCCACAGGTGGTTTCAACAGCACAAAATGCAGTCACAAGTTAGTTGTTTAATATTGTTATTATTTGTTATTCCATGTGGTTCCGAGTGGAACCGGGGGTTTCTCCAAACTACCTTGTTCTCTTCAGTCTTTTCCAGCTAACACCACCACTGATTATGAGCTCAACGGCATCCAACTTACCGTTTCTCATCAACGTCCGGCTCGATGACTTGCTTGGCAGGCAATCTTACTTAACAGCCTCTTCAGGGTGTGGCCAATCGATCTCCATTTTCTTCTACCTGTTTTGTTGAGAGATAGGTTCTTGGTTGGTTCTCTGCGCCTTTCAGAGTGTCTTGTTGCTAATCCTCTCTGGACAGCCATTCGATCTTCAATGATGAGTGAAGGTGGTAGCTGTTCATGAAAGTCTGCAGTGGCTTGTCAGAAATACGTTTCGTAACGTGCGAAGTTTCTGAACCACATAAAAGCACCGGTTTGAAATTACTTGGTTAGTGTTATTCAGCCGGTCATTCTGTTATCAAACTGTTTCCCATGCCAGACAAAAGGTTTAAAAATACATCTGAATATCCGTCTGAAGCTCATTTATGGCTATAATATGGTTATACTGAAGTTATAATGAGAAATTGTGATCGGCAGTTTCCATCACGTCAGGGTAGAGCTGATGCCCATAGACGGAAACATTCGACAGAAGTTAGAATCCATGTACCACTGATTTTCAACCCAGTGACCGAGGGGCTGGCGCATGTAATCTTAAGGTCTTCCTTTCAACTGCTGTGGAGGCTATACGTGCATACTAATGAATAGAGCCAAACAGGGACGAGAGTGACAGTTGTTCAATGCTTCTTGGCTTTCAGTGATTCTCTATACGACTTCAGTCCTAGATGTGAAAAGACATGACATCCACTCCCTCACTCATATCACTGCATACAGACAACCATGGACGTCAATTCGACTGGGACAACGTTCAAATATTAGACAGAGGAAACACCAAGAATGCTAGAGAAGTTTTAGAAGTTTTGTATTCCAGTGAATCATTGATCAATAGACACATCGAAATAGACAAAATTTACCAACCGATAAGAAGAAAATCTCACACGCAAAGGGTCAAATTTCAGGTCAAGCAAACAATTAGTACCAATACAAGTGTAGATTAGAGGGTGTGAAAACACACAGAAGCAACTAGTCTAGTTCAAGGTTACCGACCAAGAGAGATAACTAATAGCGGACTCGTGGAGAAATCTAAAAGCTGACTTCATCAAACTGAAGTATGCGCTGAAGATGTTGCTTAATGGTGGGGCAATGAGAGCTTTGCAAGTAAACCATCCAGCTGCTTAGAGAATGCATCTACATCAAAAAGACTTCATTCCTCGATGAAATCTAACAAGAAGAAAAAATTGGCTTCGTCTTCATCTTTTTATTCTAATCTCCTTTTGATCGAATTCGCCTTCTTCTTCGTCCGTTACAAGAAAATATTTTATTCTAACCTGTCTGATATTTCAGGTTTCATTTTATAACTCAGTACTTTATGAAAAGGTTTACTTACGAAATGGAATTCAGACTACCAGTGCATCACCTAATGCAGAACGGAATCGTCATAAAGAGCATCTGAAACAAACTACAGACCTTCATTAACAGTTGTCTTCGCTCAATACTCAAGATCAGATGGCCAGAAAACAACAGCAACAGGGATCTCTGGCAATGAACAAACCAACCAGGAACCGATTGTGAAACAAATAGGCAGGAAGAAATGGAGATGGATTGGCTGGCCATACTCTGAGGAAACCATCAAGTGACATCACTAGATAAGCCATTGCTCGAGTGGGACCCAAAAGGGAAGCGGCGAGTTGGTCGTCAGTGCGAGGGTGACTTGGAGGAGGTCATGTGAAGAGGAGATGAAAACGTGTGGGCAGACTTGGAGCCAGGTGAAGACTCTAGCAGAGAACCGAACGCAATGGAGACGCACGGCTGAAGCCCTATGTTCCTCTAGGAATTAAAGGAAACAATAATAATAATACAGTGTATCGTGATGGCTAGCCATCTAGCATGGTGGCTAAATTAAAAACTTGACTGATAGAATTTACTTTGAACCAAGCAAAGTACAAGACGCATACTACTCAGTATTCAATCAAAGTATCTTAGATGAGACCATTCACGAGCCTGAATAGCTGAGTGGTACCGTCTCTGATTGAAACACTGGATGACACGGGTTTGAATCTCAGGGAGGGGGACATGAGAATCCTCAAGATTGCAGATATATACTCCCTGCTGAGAGGTGATTGCCAACAAATACGAAATCCCATTTGGGTGAGGCTTCCTGTAGACTACCTCCAACCATCTTATTATTATTACTCCCTTCTGAGAAGTGCCAACAGTCATGAAGATAAGGTATTTTAGGGTTTTCTGACGGTTTCCACCAATCGTCGCCTAGTTTGCTAAATGACCACAATATAAAACTGACTGGTTGAAATCGACTTGCAATAACACCAGTTATTGGTCACACGACACTAACTATCCTCTTTTTTATTCCCTCACACTCCCCTGGAACACAGGAGCTTCAAGCTAGAGCTTTGAAGTTTCGGTAGCAGTTGTACTTATTTTTGTGGGATGAGGTTGCTATTTTTATGCCTGACCTTCCCTCTTTACTAGTCTTATTACTGGCTTAGCGAGGTAAAGGAGTGCGTCCGTTGGCCGGGGATCGAACCACAGACCACATGCATGGTTGGAGTGCATTCTACCTCTGTGCGACCGACTTACACTAATTATCCTCTAGTGAACAATTACTATGTTGTTATTACTATTATTATTGATATTATTAATATTATTTCTTTTATGATCTTTAATTCTCATCTAACTTTAGACAAACAAAATGAAGACATTTCAAAACAATATATCATGCACTCATTAAAACAAATATTTGATACAGACGAATATTCTATTGAAACATTGAATCACTCGCTGAATTTAACAGGTAAGTAAAATAAAAAAAGTCTTAATAAATATGTTTATGTAACCAACAAGTTGAGAAAATCGATTCGAAAAACTTTTAATGCGAATAATCTGCAGGTTATGTGATCCACATGACCGGTGTGACACCTCAAGCAAAAGACAAAGTACCTACGCTAATGATCTTCTCTTGTGTCTGTCAATCTGACTGTTTTTATGCAATCAGTTATATTGAGTGTTGCTTTGGGAACTTAGTTATTTGTGCTCGGGAACATCTATGAGAGTACGGCTAATTAGAGGTGTTGTTGAAACCGTCAACAGTTCGATATTAGACTACCTGGCCCAATCAGGTCATAAATGTATTGTTGAAGGATCGTTTTTTTCTTATCATCTATTAGGTACCAAGTAAATCGTCGACAACCTCTAAGTAATCGATATTCCAAACAATAGGGATCACTACAATTCGCTTAAAACAACTAGAGCTCTGCGTGCAATAATGCTACCCTGCTGTGAGATCCACAAATTCTGTATTACTGTCGTTCTTTTCTACCTGAAGAAATATTCTTAAAATCATTCAATACGGCTGTTGATGTCATGACTGGAACTACGACCTAGTAGAATATGAGTGAATACTGACTAAATGCACTGGCTAATCTGTCCTAGTCACACGTCAACCACGACAATAACAATAACCCCGCAGGCACGCAAAGACAAAAGAAAAGACTGGACGTCCATAAGAGAGCTTTTACTGTCTCAAACAACAGTCTAAAATGCTGAACAGAAACTCTGTAGTTATACAGTTAGAATGACCTTGAAAATGCAGTAATCCAGCGGTGCATTAAAAGCCATTAACAGCAAATAGGAATCCAGCAATCCGAACAGAGGGATCACGTCAGTGAGCGATAACTCCTTAAAATAGTTATTTCAAGGTTTTAGGCAAAATTACGCAAAACTAGGTGTATATAACAGTTGACATAATGATTTATTCGACATTTGAAACGTCATATGCTTGATTTAAGTCTCACTGAGAACACTGTGTCTCACTGCGCATGATGGCTCATCCAACTGTGATAAGTCCATGCTAGGGATGAAAGGCGAATTCTGGATCCCACCGCTGACCTTCTTCAACTGAATAGCAGCATTCAGTATACTCTGGTGATTATTTGTCTTTACCATCAGCTTGGTCATGTGATCAAATAGACTTTGAGTAAGCTATTGTTCTAAGTTTACTCAATGATAGTTGTAAAAATGATCTAAAAACTTCCTAATCTTAACCAAAAATAATCAAGCCCAAAATACATGATTTTAGTGTTTATGATGTTAAAACTTAATGGTCAGAGAGAATTGTAGAGAAACATTTTGAAGTCGTCTATGGTTGAGGTTGTGGGGAGGAAAGTGATGTTTACTGTGGTACTATTTTCTTTCTATTCTCTTCATATTACGTTTAATTTTTTCAGTTCATTTTACCAATTTACGCTGTTTCGATGTATGAATAAGGTTGTTCTTTGAATAGTATTTTCTACATGCTTATTGTTGAGCAGCACTAGTGTGGTGAGAGCTGTCTGCAAGACAAAATTGTAGACAATAATTGACGTCAAAGTTGGTGTCCCAAATCGGGGTTATGACAAAAAACAAGAAAAAAAGACTAACCTCGAGGAACTCAACAACCAGTCACAGCAAACTCAGCTTGAGCAGATGCGATTCACAGATATATCATTGGACTGTATAAGAAACCGCAACAAAGAGATGGCACAATAACCTTCAGCAGGAAAACAACAAATCAAAAGACGTTGCTTCTCTGCAAACAATAACGAATAATAATGTACATACAAATCTATAAATATCTGTTGATTTTCTCAATAAACGATCTGTTGCCTGGTCATTGTCTTCTGTCGTTACATAAGTACTCTTTATTTGTGCTCTCTGTTTCTTTCTTACATCCTCGTGAGACAGTTTAACACATCGTGTTAACAGAAATCGTCAAGTAGATATTAATATATGTGTAAAACCTGGGCATTGTGGTAGTAAGTAATTCCACATTAGTTTGTTTATTAGATGTATCACACAGTGAGTGAAACAGTATTATTTACTGTATAACATTTCGAACAAAATTTATTGTTCATATCATCAATTATAATCACACGACATCGAAAGTTCAGTTTTATAGTTTTCTTTATTCTCTCCTATTTGTTGTCGTAGGGGTGGTAGAATTTTCCAGATGTCCGAATGGACAGGTGTTGAATCATTCCTATTACACGTGTTGGTTCGCAGTTGATTTGATAAACAAAGCTTCCGTTATCAATCTCTCACTCAACCCTGTGACATTAGATTTTAAAACTGTCATCTTATCCCATTCTATTGTGTGGTTGTGTGTGATTGCACGTTGTGAGTGCTGTAGCTGAACTATCATCTAGATTTCTTATCTTATTTGAGTCAACCAATCTAGATTTTGCTGTTTTTATGCTCGGCTAGTCTGACTGACTGCACCTGTTCTACTACTTTGAACTATGTATTTGACCGGACAATCATCAAAGCAGGGTATTAGATAAACTAAATTGTTTTTTTTAATGGGCCGCTGCACAGGATCCTTTAACCGACAAAGCTTGTTTCTAATTGAGTTTTTGGGTTTGAATAGCAGACACTTTTATTCCTGCCTGTTTTGTTAAGAATTCTCCGTAAGGTTTCCGAGGTTCCATCTTTGTATGGAAGTACTACTGGTGATTTAGATTCCTTATTGTTGGTGTTGTCATTATCTTGCGCATGTTTGACATGCATGTCATCATTAATATGATTATTACTACTACCACTATCCCTACTATTATTATTAATTTTACCTTTACATTTTCCTACATACTTTCTGATTAATTTATCAGGGTAATTATTAAATAAGTTTCGAAGCTTCTCATATATGCCTCACTTCCTGTCTTAGATTTTCCTTGGTACTACTTAATTCTTGTGCTCTATTACTTAAAGATTTTACCAATCCTATTTTTACTGACATAGGATGGGATGATCGGAAGTCCAAATACCTGTTTGAATGTGTGGGTTTCCTGTAAACGCTAGTGTTTAACCTCCCGTCTTCTTTCCTTTTTAAGCTACAATCTAACATTGGAAGCTCACCTTCCTGACTTCCCAATTCATAAGTGAATTGAATCGCCTCCACCTTTGAGTTGATGTGCTCGAATCAACTGTAAACCAACACGTGTAATAGGAATGATTCAACACCTGTCTCCTCGGATATCTGGAAAATTCTACTACCCTAACGACGACAAATAGGAGAGAACAAAGAAAACTATAAAACTCAAGTTTCGAAGTCGTGTGATTATAATTGAGAATATGATTATGAACAATAATGAACTGTATTCGAAACTATGTCATCCAGTAAATTATAATACTGTTCCACTCACTGTGAGTGTTATATCCAATAAACAAACTAATGTGGAATGAAGTCAAGTAGTTATTCACTGTCACAGTGAATGATACCATAGTATTTATCCAAAAGAAATTTACATCTCCTAGTACTACGGATTCGATGATATCTGAAGATTACCATCACGTTATTTCGGCTGATGGTGACTAGCTGACAAGGTTTAAGAAGTATGAAATGTACATCCTGTCTTCCATCGCTAGTCTACCGAATTATGCTATTTCAAGCCTCAGATATGTCTATTGGTTGACCTGTCAAGTGCGGCCGAACATGTTGGTCCAGTCAATCAACGGGAAGATGAAAATTGGATTAAAGACAATTAATAACTGGTGATCATTGTGCAAGAGGTGGATCTCATGACCCAAGTGGTCTAATGGATAACACTTGGACGTTTGAAACAGTGGGTACTGTTTTCATATCTCATTGGGAATGCTATAAGTTACTGGGGATTACAGGTGCATCTAGATGATAAGTTTCAAATGAGACGAAATGCGCATCCTGCACTCCACTGATAATCACCATCCAACAAATTACTACTAAGCATAATTTTATTTGATTGATTGCGGTTAGCGGTAAAATTTTGGGAGTACATTTTGTCCGATTGAATATAGCTCCATCTCCAATGGGCGACAATGTCTCCAAGAAGGATAAGAGGTATATACAGTCGGTGAATCTCGAATAAGACGAAAACCTCGCGACTGGGCATCAACCAAATAATATCTCTGTTTCTGTAAAACATGAAGAGACACCTAAAAAGTATCGCATGATTTGCAGTAGCTTGCTAGACATCCCCTATTCATCCTTGAGATAATTATACCTGCATAAATTTCACATCTAAATATTTCAGTGTATTGTTTTCTGTCATGTTTAGATACTTACAGTGTAAATGAAAATCCTTCAGAAACTTATACGAATTTCAGAATAAAGGTCAATGAAAGTCCGGTAAGCTTGAATTTACATTTAAATTATTAGTTTCAAGAGTTAGTTTGTAGGATTTCCAAAAGTTTCAAGTTCGATAGTGGACTGATATCAGTTAGAGAATCATTGAAAACTGGGGATTGCTCAACAGCTGTTTCATCCCAGTTTTGGACTCATCAGCCAGGACCGTCTGGTTAAGTGGTGAGCTCGCAGACCAATCAGTCAGTGGAACCTGATTCAGTAGCGAGTGAATTCCAACTTCTACCAATTCATAATTTTAGCGCCATTATCAGCCAGTATCACTGGCGAATATTTGTCCGACCTGGTGGACCCTACTAGTCATGACTTCTAGCTAGAAATTCAGCCATTTTCGTCCTGTAGTCAGTCGCTAGCTAGCATCAGATTAATTGGTAGAAGTTGGAATTCATAAGCCAGTTATTGGATTGGGTCCAAGAGACTGAATGGTCTGCTAGCTTGCTTTGTAAGTGGATGATACTGGGTTGCTACGCTGGTGGGTACGAACTGCTGAAGAGTCTCAAACTAAGAGGGAATAGCTTTCCAGTACTCCCTATTGGCTTTCAATGGTTCTCTAACTGATGTCAGCTAATGGAAATAGGTACTGTACATACTTCTTTCATACACAAAGATCTGTCTGGAATTCATATATGGCTAAGGTTTCTACTATCTTTAGAAGCATGGGACGAAGAAAACGCTAGAATTTAACACGAATTCGATAGATTATCTTAAAAACAAGGTCGAGGATGGTAGTGACAGAGGTTGATCAAGTGCATTCTAGAATAGAGCTTCTCACACTCTTTCTACCTTGTGGAACTGTGTTGGAATGTGTTCTCGTATCCACGTGTAAAGCATTCCCTGGCTATTTCTGGTCTCTTTACTAAACAAAAGCTCCATAAAAATAGTTGGCTTACCCCAAAAATTATGGGAAACTATGTCTAAGTAATGGTTAGTCAAATTTTATCATGTGTGTGGCCTGTGCTACTGACAAGACTTATAAGTAGTATATATACAGAGAAGTTGCTCCTCCTTAGTCGACCTGGGCAACTCTCCCTAAAACAGGTCATCTCCAAAGGGTGCAGAACTTTGTGGGACGGGGAGTCCTAGCATGCGGGTACTCAAACTGATCGAGCGCTCACGCTAAGCATGGCACCGATATGATTGACCTGTCGTAGGGTGTTTGTCCAAGCAGATCAAGAAAGGGGAGCTATGCTAGCAACGTACTACCCATAGACCTTGTCACTAGCACACAGTACATGTGGATATGGACCATCAGAGATTTCTTAACTTAAATATAAATCTTGTCATTTGTTTAATGGCAGAGGAAGTTGAAATCTGGAATGCACGTTTCATCCTATTTAGGACTAATCAGGTTGACACTTGAACTAAACACCCATCACCATAAGAGTCATCTCTTGTGTAAAAAGTAACTTCGGATTCGTAATAATGGTACTATCAAGGCATCATATGCACCTTAATGAGGCCGATCAGTTTAACCTCAGGGATATATCAGCACAAAGTTCCAAGTGTGAATGAATAATTTCAAATTTTTTCACTGGTGATTCTTCTAAATGGTTATGGACAGTGAACTGCATGCGGTGGGGGGGGGGAAGGAGTTTGCCACAGTTGTCCTTCTTTTCCAATTTTCCACCTCTGATTCAACCGAAAATTTCAGTCTGTCGAGTCTAAGTGCATGGCATAGAAATCAATTTAGTTTTAGGATTTCATCATGAACTGACATCAATTAGAATACGATTGGAAAACCAGGCCGGGAATAGTGGACAGCCACATGTTTCGTCCTAGTTTTGAATACTTCAAAGGTAGGCAACCACCGCCAGGTTTCCAACCCACGACCTTCTGGTTACAAGGCGAGCGAGCCCATTAAGTCACTGGACGGTAGAACAATACACGACCTCAAGTTAGATCAAGAACTGACAAATACCAAGGAGTAAAGGACAACTGCTTTGTCCGAGTTAGGGTTCTTCAACATTACTCACCAGTGATTACAATGTTGATCATACCTGAAAATATCAAGTTACAACCAAGAGACCGCTGATCATTCAGCCACTGAAACGGAATCTATTGTTCCACAAATTTTCACTACTGAGAAACCACGAATATAGCGCAGTCGTCCGCCAACGTCATCAGCGAATATCTGTCCTCATACTCAAGTTGGACAATCTCACTGGTTACGAATTTTCTATAGAACTCCGGGTGGATTCCTTCTGTGGTCAGTCACTAGTGAGCTACATGCCGCAAACTGGCAGAAGTTAGGATCCATGATTCATTGGATTCCGTGCCAGTGGCTAAATGGTCAACGAGCTAACCTTGCAACCATGAAGGTTCTGGATTCGATCCACTATGGGTGAGGTCATATCTGCGTAAAGCAAAAGATTTCCAAACAAGGGTGAGACAGTCTTCCAGCACTTCCTATTTATAATCGCCTCTCTAAATAATGTCACTTTATTGTTTAACTTAGAATTTCGCCGAATCCTCTGCAAGCTAACACTTAAAAATAAAAAACAAAATAATTAAGCAAAGAATATCCTTTTCGATAATTTCCTCTTTCACCTCTACAATTATATATGCGTACATTAATATACATAGAATATTCTAGAATAGTAGTCAATAACAATGTTGGTGTTTATAAATAATATCGATTTGTTAAGTAATGGAATTACAGCTCACTAAAGATGCATAGATTATAATAATAATAAAAATATAATAGCAAATAGAATATCAAATAGAATTAAGGAAATTTCCACAACATAGTGAGGATTATTAAAACCTCGATGGCCAAGGTGAAGACAGTGTCTGAAGCGACCAACTTCTTCTTTTGGATACATTAGTTAGGTTTCTTAATGTAGATCCCAACAGTAGACGAACTCTTAAGGTAAAGGTAAGATTTTTTGGTATGCGGCAAATAACTTTGAAAGCCTCTTTAACATCAATCTTGTGTTCTGTATCCACAAGATGAGACAGAATAGCCCTACGAATAGATTTTGTTTGTCCTTCACTTAACCACACAGGATAGTGTTCGGAAATCCGATGATAAACATACCTAATTGTATGGCCTATGCAACTAACTGGCTCCACAGGAGCAGTCAAATTGCTAGATGCAAATAGAAATTAGGCGGTTCATCTCATTCTCCCGAACGCATAATAGGGTTGGTTTTGAAGACATAGCGTAATTCAGCAGCAAGGAATGCTCTTTCTACCACCGTAAACCTTAGGCGTTGTGTCAATATCTCGTTGATGTTATCCTTGAGAAACTGAATTTGTAAGATTAAGGCCTATTTAGGAACTCTTGGTACCTTAGGCTGCCTTGATTTTTGAATCAAATTCTTATCAGTAAACTTCTCTGGGTAACCACATCGTTTAATACTATTAAGTTCCTCATCAAAAAATTCATACGAGCAGATTGCTCTTGCTCTGTGGACCAAGCACTTTATCAGATTGCGTTTGCATTTCAAAGGCGCAAAGCTGAAAAAATGAGTATACTGACAGTTAGTTGATGCAGGTCCTCTTTTCTGGTCATAAGGATGTCTAGAAATGAAATTCTAGAGTTTCTTTCTTTCTCAGTGGTGAAACTTGTCAACTTTCCCGCTAACTGTTTCTCTCTCTCTTTTCAGTAGGATCCAGGGAAGAGGAGATTTTCTGGAATTTTAGATTATCAGTAAGAATAGTATTCATCTTCTCTAGTTAATCCGCTTTGATCTTGACAACTATTCCTGAACCCTTTTCCAGTCTTGTTATTACTATGTTGCCATTTTTACGGAGAATATCTAGAGCTTCTCCACTTTCTCTTTGGTCAAAATACTATCCCAGTTACGTTTACTACTCATATAATAATAGCAACAATCGACGATAGTTGATTTAAATCTTTAAACATTTTCAGTTGATGACCGTGTTAGAACTTCTCTTTGAGAGTAGAGACTTTCAAGCTGAATTGTGCATCCATTTTATTAATTTTAGCATAGCTATCACAAAATGTAGGGCCAAGCGATAAAACCTGTAGATCCGCTTCATTAAGGACTACATCCGGCTTGGGTTCGGAGGAAATATTGTTCAGGTGCATTGTTCTCCAGACTCTGTAACAGCTTCGCGTGTTTCTTTTCTTTCCTTTTACTCATAATTTCATCCACATAATCTAAAATAAGTTTCTTTAAGTGTTCTAGTAGTTCATCGACAGCATAGGATCTTTCTGTGACGTTCTTTGATAAATCAGTAATACACTTTTGAATAGAGTCAATCTGATTACGTGCATGGCGTTTGAATGTCTTATCATTAGGCTGATTCTGTTACAGCGTAAGGATTCCTAAGAAGATTTAGAATACCGGTTCGTTTAAGTACACTGATGGATAAAGTCGACAGTACAGAATACTACCTGTTAACAACAATGAACTGAAATTCCATACATTTATTCCCCTTAATGAATTTGAACAAAGCAAGAACTACAGTTTTAGCGGAATAAAGTGGTACCATCTTTTATTTCGTTGCCTTCCCGTCAGCTGCTTACAGGGCAAAGACATTATTAAATGTATCTACAAAAACAATTTTAACATACTTGCACAGAGTTCACTTTTAAACAAAAATCAATCGATCAGTATACGCATACACTAATAATATATACATATATATATGTAATATTAAACACTATTCCGAACAACAATAATAATCATACACAATGAAAACTTTTCAGTATCTCGCATTCGGATGAAAAATATCTAGTTACCAGGACAAAGAAAGCCTGATAACCGCTTCTTTATGAAAGCATAAATCAGGTTTCAGGCACCTGATGGAAACGGTTTTAGAAAACTTAAGGAGAATTTAGCTCTTTTGCTTACTGATAATTTTGAACAACTTGTCGACGTCCACCTCATGACCCATGTCAAGGAGATGCTTGGCGATGGCACTGTTTAAAGCATTTGTTCCCTTTAGACGTAAGCTTTTTGGTATATGTTCAGAAAATCGTAGATATGCCCTTCTTTCTGTTGTTCCAATGTAACTGCTCCCGCAGGTACATGTAAATTTGTATATACAGTTGGAGTTAACATGAGAAGGATATCTATCAGTTTTTGATTGTATCAAAATGAAATACATTCAGATAGTTTGAGCATTTGAAAAATCGAATATTTATTTTACTTTTTTCTTTGTATAATTTCTTTCATGAGTTGGATTTCTCTTTCAGATAAATAACAATGAAAGTATACAAAGCACTAATGCAGTACCATTGAGTAAAGTGAAACGATTAAAATCATGGTTAAAGCAATTTGAAGTAATTCAGTTATGGTAAGTATGTGTCTAAAGAATAAGATATTACGATGGAATATTGAACTTTGAAGTTGATTATATTTCATTTATACATATGCATTTTAAAAATTGTAACCAGAAGGTGCTGGGTTCGAACCCCGGTGGGCGCGTAGTGCTGAAGAGTCCCAAACTAGGACGAAACAGCTGTCCACTACTTCAGTGCAGGTTTTCCAGTGGTTCTCTAACTGATGTCAGCTCATGATGAAATCCTTCATGCAATTTTAAAAACTCCCCATTGATTCATTTGCAAGTAAAGACATTCATCAGCGAAGAGTTACTCTTACTTTCGGCGATATCATTCTCAAGCTGTACGATCGGATATATATGTTGTTAAAAACACAGTTTTTGTTCAGCGAAGAAATTTCTTTTCAACGACTTCATTTTCAAGCTGTACAGTCGTATTTATATTACAGAAAAAAGGTTATTAAGTGGCACTAAATAATTGCTCAGTCAATATACATGCATGTGGTAAGAATAACGATAATTAAAATGTTATAAGGGGTAGAGTTGAATTGGATAAATTACAAAATTATTAAAGATTGTTTTATAAGTGAATTGAAATCAAAAATGTTTTACAAATGTCAAGTGTTGTCTAAAAATTTTGAAAAATAAGAGTATGATTACGATAAGAATGAAGATGTGAAGTGAAGTGGAAAGAATTCAAGTGGTAAAATAAAATAAAGCAAAAACTAGAAAGTACATTATTATGACCAATGTAAAGAAAGGGTTTGACAAAACGTTTTTGAACACATAACTTAGGTTTCTGTTCATGTATAGCTAAAGCTTCGGCTATGCATAAGTGAAGAAAACGTAAACTTTTGGATCGATTCGATTTTGCCATGTAGATAACTTTGAAAGATGAATCACGTGGGGCTAAATGACCTGACTCTAACAGGTGATGTTGTTAACTGTCTTAGCATCGAGAGAAATATTTCCAAGGATGTGTCATTAAAGATTGTAAATTTTAGATAACAGATTCCGTTAATGGGTTAGAAACTAAAATAAGATCAAATAAGCAAGTTGAGTGACGTAATCTAATTGACGGGGTTGAGTAGAGCTTAGCTAAAATTAGAATTCTACAATTAAGAAACAAATAAACAAGAAAAAGACGAAACAAAATTACATATTTGGTGTTAACATAGATAAGTCAGGTCCACTGTATATTTAATGACTGAACACACATCTTTTGTATGTAGAGTTCAGGATTTAACACGTGACGAATTGCCATTGCTTCTGCTGTTTGAAGAAGTTTGATTCGTACTCTTTTAGCAGGAATCCCACGTATTCTATAGATGACTTTGAAGTTGTTTTGTGGGTTTGCTTGGTGTCCTGATTCGATCAGGTGTTCCAGAATAGAGCTTCAGGGGTGCCTTTCGTTTTCTCATTTATAAAATCATGACTGTGGGTAAGTGTTCGATGATACGTTTGGATAGCAGACGCTGGGTACGGCAGACATACGTAGCTCCACATGTGGAGCAGGTGAATTGGTAGATGCACATTGATGACGCAGGCCAATAGTAGTAGCTTAACCTTCACATATGCATTTATTAGTCTGTGGTGTCGCGTTTAGACTGTATTATCCGACAGAATTATGTTTCAAGTGCAGAAAAGCATTGCATATTTATCACACACACATACAGAGTGAAAGACTATAATTTACGGGATGACATTTCAGTCACAGTCTGTTCTTCATAATCATAGCAAGGTGTCACTGCCCCACATCGAAAGTTGAATTTTATATTGTAAAAGTTGGGTACTGTGGTGGCAGAATGTAATTACATATTAGATAAATTTATTTTGATAATCACACACAGTGGTGATGCGGTATCAACAACTGGATGACAAAGTTTCGAGCATAAATTATTCCTGCTAATAACCATATCAGTTTTAGTTACACAGTTTCACAATTTGTCTTACATATATTTTCTCTTTATCCTGTCTCTTCAACTTTCCCTTGTTGTGTGCTGCAACTTTCCATATCTCCGGTATAGGCGTTGCACCAGTCCGACTGCACGTATGCGGTGTTGAAGCGATAAGCAAGGCTTCAGTCAATGATTAACCTCTCAGTCTGTCCATCTAACTATACTTTTCAATACTCTCACCCTGTCCCATCCAGACTACTTTGTGATTACATGTAAGTGAATGCATTACAGTGGCAGAGCCTTCATCTAGATTATTTAACTTAGCAGGGTCAATCATTCTAAGTCTAGCTAAATTATTATGTTCTAATAATCTAATTAACCGCTATCTGCTGGTTTGACCGACCTGTATTATTAACCTTACTGTCATTGTCACATGGTATTTGGTAAATTATATTATTACTTTTCTTAATTGCATCTACTGGGTCCTTAGGCCGACAAAGTTTATCTCTGAGAGAGTTGGTTGGTTGGTTGGTTGGCTTAAATGACACTCTGATTCCAGCCTCATTGAGAATCCTACGTATGGCCTCTGACGTCCCTTCTTTATATGGGGACTGTGCTACAGAGTCTTTGAATTCTATATTATTTTCATCACTTTTATGGCTAGTCTCAGTTTTTCCATGGTTCTTCATGTATTTCTCAATAAATTCCGGTGGGGAATTATTTACTAGTAATATGTGCTTTATTTGTTTGATTTCATTATTTAAATCTTCTGACTTACGAGTTAGGCTCTTGGCCCGGCTTTACAGACACTTAACTAAACCTGTCTATACTGATTCTGGATGGGATGAATTAAAATTTAAGTGTTTATTAGAATGTGTCGGTTTCCTATAAATGCTGTTATCTAACCCATCATCTAGTTTTCGTTCCGTTCCACAGACTGGTATACCCAACTCACTCTTTTTCTTTTTCTAAGTCAGAAAATTAATTGAATCTAATGACTTTGAGGTTAAATTAGTAGACCAAAGTCAGTCATACTATCGAAATATAGAAATGTAGCTAGACCTAGAATGATTGACCCTGTTAAGTTAAATAACCTAGATGAAAGCTCTACCACTGCGATGCATTCACTTGCATGTAATTACAAAGTAGTCTGGATGGGACAGGGTGAGAGTATTAAAAAGTAATACATTTAGGTGGAAAGACAGAGCGGTTAATCACCAACTGAAGCTTTGTTTATCGATTCAACATCGCGCACGTGCAGTCGGAATGATGAAACGCCTATACCGGAGATATGGAAAGTGACAATAAACCACAAAGGGAAGCTGAAGAGAGAGAGAGACAGAATAGAGAAAAAATATACATAAGACAATTGTGAAACCGTGGGACTGAAATATGTGTGAATATGAGCAGCAATAATCTATGCTCGAAACCTTGTCATCCAGTGGTTATTACTGTATTATCATCACTATGTGGTATTTAAAATGAACTTATCTAATATGAAAATGAATTTTATAGTTCTCTCCGTTTTTTCCATTCACCTTTAGGGGTAGTAGAGCTTACCAGGTATTCGGTACAGGTGTCGAATCATTATTTTTGCATGTGGTCTGAGTATATTCCATAAGGCAGGATTTAAGACGTATGAAAGAAAATTGTACGCTTGATATTTCACGCCTTCCCCCCCCCCCCCACAAATTAATCAGAAAGTATATGGGACACTGTAAGGATAAGATTAATAATAATAACAAACAAGGACAACTTGAATGACAGAAATACACAGAAAATGACAACATCAGCCATAGGGAATTCGAAACATCAGCCGTGCTTCCATACAGAGGTGGAACCTTTGAAAGCTTACGTAAAGTTCTTACGAAAACAAACGAATAAAAGTGGTATTCAGTCACCTATAAACTCAATTAGTAAGAAATTCTCTTAAAAATCCTTTGAAGCCCATCAAAAAATAATGATAGTTTAGTTTACCTAATACTCTGAAATGATTGTGGAGTCAAACAGTTAGGCCAGAGTAGTGGGTTGGAGTCAGCTAGATTATTGGAGCACTGAAACCGAGCATAATCTACATTAGGGAAATCTAACAAATAGGTCCTAGAATGCAACAGAACAGAGTGGAGGGAGAGACTGATAACGGGAGGCTTATTTATCGAGTTGAGACTACGTGAGACAGGAACAGTTCGACACCTCTCCCAGACATCTGGATTATTTTATTACCCTCGCGACAAATGTGAAAGAAGTTTGAGAACTATAAAGATCTAGTCTCGAACTAGTGTAGTTAAATCTGGAGGATTCGACCGGAAACGGCAAATTGTCCTCGAAACTTAGCCATCCAGTAGATAATACTTTGGGATGTTATATCCCATATGGAATTTAGAATAATATTTCACATTTTACATAAACATTAAGAGTGTGATTTATACAGCTTTGTTTTACTAGCCTCAACTCAGTTACTAAACTAACAGGCGCATTTATTCAAGTATTTATTTGTAGGAATTTGATTGATTGGTTACAGGATTTCATCATGAGCTGACGTGGGTTAGAGAACCACTAGTGACTGGCCATATACAGGCAGGTAATTACCTAGGGTTCTAGTGGGAAGTCATGACCAGTGAGATACAGCAGGTCGGACGTGAGGACAAATACTCGCCAGCAATGACATTGATTAGTGGTCGCGCTATGTCGAGAGTTAGCAGAAGTTGGAATTCATGAACTGGCAATTTGATCGGGTCCCATTGGCTTAATAGTCTATGACCTCGCTAGCCTTGTAACCAGAAGGTCGTGGTTTAGAACCCTAGCGGTAGGTGAGAACTGCCAATGATCTCCAAACTAGGCTGAGGAAACAGCTTCCCAGTACTCCACGGTTTTATAACAGTTTTCTAACCCATGTCAGCTCATGATAAAATCCTGTATCCAAAGCTTCAGTGATTAACCTGCCTCTCCACCTAAGTATATTACTTTTTAATACTCTCACTCTGTCCCACCCTTTGGGGGTTCATCTTCGACATACATCTGAGTCCATGGGAAACCCACTGAAGAAGACAAATCTATGTGTTTAGAAAAAATTCGTACAGTTACTTTCCTTACATTGACAATAATTACATGAATGTAAAATCTGACGGTTTCTTTCTCCTCCGAAACCGTTAACAAGTTATCCAATGTCTTAATTATTTTAATATTCGACGAAATATTTCCATATTGAGTCATAATAAAAGATGTAAGTGGCGAAGAAAAATTTACTTTCCGACGATTCATTTTCATAAACTGTACAATCCTGACTACATTTAATCAAAAACTTATAAGACCAGTCAGATACTGGTAAAATTAATTCTCAAAATACGCATTACCTAGTATAACGTGTAGTCTAGGAGGGGTGACTAAGTGGAAATTAGAAAAGGGGGCAGAAGTTGGCATGACATAATAAGTGAGAAAGTGACTAATCAGTATAGTTGTGCAAGGTGGACAAGAACTAGTGGAAAGACAATCTTTATGACAATGCAGTGTTATTAATAAGCAGTAGTAGAGTGATAATAAAATAAGGATTATGAAAATAATAATAATAGTAAAACTACATAATAAAAGGAAGCAAAATTATACTATGAACGTTACTATGGTCATGGTGGGACTAGGGGATGTGTGCGGTGCTTTTGAATGCAGAGGTCCAGTTTCAGATCCTGAATAGCCAATGATTCAGCTGTGTATTGATGGCGCATTCGAAGTCCCTTAGTTTAATATTGATGGACTCTGTGTAGCACTGTGATGCATTCATGCACGGGAGTTGATAAGGCGTTCGAGGATGGACCTGCTAGTATTTTTCTTTTCTCTTCTAGCTGGCTAGCTAAGCTGGACAGTGTTCCAGAATATATTTTTGCGTCTTAATGTTGTGTACGGTCGATATACTTTGCTGCACACGAAAAATTTAACTGACAGATGTACAGTGAGGTGGCTAAAAACGGTATCTTATCCTTAACATTAGACTGGATATTTTATCTGCTGGGGAATTCGATAAGTAAGATGGCTGATTGAAATATCTTCTTCAGACATTTTGAAAGGCAGTTTCTAGGAATTTCTGCTTCAATTTCACCTTTGAATTCCAGGTTCATGAAGAGAGCTTTCTTAGAAACAGTTGTGATATTTGGCGACGGAGGCCTTTTACTCCTTCATATTTCTGTCTATGAATCTTGGTGGATACCCGTTCTCTAGTAGGGTTTCTGACTACTGTGCGTCAGTGGTACAGCGGTTAGGACTCTCGCTAACCATGCACATGGTCTGGGATTGGGTTCCCTGCTGACGCACACCTGTTATAAGTTGGTTGGCCTGCGAAATTCTGGCTACCGATATCACATGCTGAAAATTCCATACATGTACCAAAATTACGGTGTGGAATCAAGCTATAATAAAAAATTGCTGATTACGTAATCAAATTGAGTATTCATTTGTTTTTTAATTACTCATCTTATTTTTCTGAAATTATGCATTGTTTAATCCACTTCTTTAATTTTTACAAACATCTCTAACCTTTAATTGTGGACAATTAAATATTCCTTCGTTCAATCCTTTCGTTCAACAAATAGCATCAAAATAAAACCACGAAACTTACAGATCCTGAAGTTGCAAATTAATTCGCAGTTTTCGGTTTATACAGTTTTAGTAACTTCATCAAAAGATATCTACCCACAAGCCAATCTACGGAATCAAGGACCCCCAAAGAAAGCACAAAGAAAATCGCCTTAGCATATACAAAGATATGTGAGAAATCACTTTAAGATTCTTCGAACCTTTAGGAATTGATGTCACACACAAACCAACAGAATCACTTCACTCAGCCAGCCAGCTCTGTGTCAACCAAAAGACAGATTCAAAAGGGAAAGAAGATAAATCCAACATCATCTACAAAATACAAGTTGCAATGACCCCGAAAAACATTACGTTGGCCAAAGTGGATATCCTCTTCTTCCTCGTATCCATAACCATAAACTAGCCGTCAAAAGACATGATATCCACTCCATCATATCACTACATACAACAACCACAGACATCAATTCGACCGGGACAGCGTTCAAATATTAGACAGAGGAAACACCAAGAATGCTAGAGAAATTTTAGAACCCTCTATTCCAGTGAATCGTCAATTAATAGACATATTTACATAGACAAAATTTACCAATCGATAAGAAGGGAATCTCATACATGAAGGGTCAAACTCCAGGTCAAGCAAACAATCAGTACCAATGCGAGTGCAGCCTAGAGGGTGTGAAAACACACGAAAATAACCACTCACGTTCGAGGTTCCACACCAGGAGAGATGACTAATACTGAACTAGTGGAGAGATCTAAAACCTCAATTTGTCAAACTGGGACAACGCTCAAATTTTAGACAGAGGAAACACCAAAAATGGTACAGAAATTTTAGAAGCCTTCCTGGTATTTCAGTGACATAGACGAAATTTACCAGTACACAAGAAGGAATTCTTACACATAAAGGTTGAAACTTCCGGTCAAGGAAACAATCAGCACCAATACCATTACAAGTAGCCTAGAGGGTGTGAAAACACACAGAAACAACCAAACAGTCACATTCAAGGTGGTCACCAGGAGAGATGACTAATAGATTCGTGAAGAAATCTTAAAACCCACTTCATCAAATTGAAGTATGCGCTCTGGAGATGTCACCTAGTGGTGGGGCAATGAAAGCTTCTCAAATAAACTATCCAGCTGTTCAGAGAACACAGCTACATCAAAATAGCACCATAGTAGCTAGCCAGATTTTGAGTGGTACACTAATGATGAACTCGACCTCAAACGAGGCAAAATAGTCATCCGGTGTTTTGATCGCCTCAGTCTGGCTAGCAAGCAGTATTGGTGGTGCTTAGGTGCTCACAAACTTATTAGTTATATATCTTAATGCTGATTTACAATAAAGACTCTCTTGTGATGAGTTATTTTTACAAGTGATACAGCTTTTTGAACAGTTTATATATTTTTTTCTGGTGTTTAATACCTAATTTCCCACATTTCAGTACTCCTGTAATACAGTATGAATTATTCTCACCTTCATTTTGCGAAGATTTCAGTAATAACACTGTTCAAAATGTAACCAGTGGTAAGTTTGCTTAATATTCGATCAACCAACTTTTGAAGTTTTGGGTCCTATCTTGATCACAGTTCATGGGAATAGGTCTTTAAGCTTTAGATTTTCTGTAGTGATATTGTTCCTTTTACTAGGTGAGGTAGTTGGTCATACATCCACACGCCTTCCTCTCTTTTCCAAGATTTCTATTGGATGGTAAACTAGATGACGTTTAGGCTAGGAATCCAACCTGGATGTTTCACATGCCTGGTAAGCCTTGCACCACAGGCTTTCATAGTTTGTGTCTCACCTTTCCACATTGACAGTGTGCATTATGGCCAAGCGGCATATTGGCTCGTTTCTAAATACAAAAATCGACCAAGTTATACTTTAAACACCACTAACTACCAATGGAGTGCGACCGCACCAGTGACACTGAAGCGCTCACTGAGCGAATTAGTGAAACACGGCAGATAATGTTGTCATCATCAATGAAATATGCTCATCGAAGTGTTACGCAATTAAATGGGATATCTGGCAAGTGTTAGCATAGGTTTGGGAAAGATTAAGTTACGCTTTAGGCCAAGGACAAGTTAGGGTTAGGTTAACCTAATGAAGGCGACATTGGGTTTAGTTCGAGTTAGATTACAGTCAGTTTAGGGATATTTTCACGTTAGGGTTATGTTCAGGAAAGATCAAGATTAGAAGACGTAAATAATTACATGCATAGAATGTGGTTAAATTACTCTCTTGATATAAGAATAGAACTTGTGCACTGTGGCGGTAGAGTATAATTCCATTGTGGGTAAAATTTATTTTGCTAAAGTCTCAAAGTGTGTTATACAATAATATTTACTGATGACCACGTTTCAAGCACAATTTATTGCTCAGTAAATATTACTGTATAACACTGTGAAACTTTATCAGAATAAATTCTACCCACAATGGAATTATACTCTGTTGATACTTCAACCTAAAACTGAGAGCTATTTTAATCACATGTCAGAGAAAGCTAATATCTTCTACAACACTTTTATACAGCTTTAATGCATTTTTTCATAAATGTATGTGTATCCCATACACAAAACTGCCTCCTTCACGTGATTGGTGCTTTTGAGGTCATTCACTGATTGGTAGTTAGTTGTGCTTAAAGTTTAACTTAGTCCAAAAATCATATCGATGCATTGGGTAGCTAAAAAAACATAGAATCTAATGAATGCATATACACATGTTAAATTTTCTTGAAACTGTACCTTTAAATGTTATGCTGCCTATCATCACTGACTATGTTCTTAATTGTGGTGGACTGGATTATGCACCAAACTGTGCATGAGAGTCAGAAGACAAGAGTACGCTGGACTGACTAATAAGAAGACTCTGGAAGAGCCGGACTTCGCGGATGCTTTCTGTTTAATGTCACACAAACACGAAGACTTAGAGGCAGACGAAAACCAACAAACTGGCTGAAGAGGCAGAGAAGACAGGACTGCAGGTGATGAAGATGACCAACCACCAGCAACAGCAACTGCAACGGACAACAATCACCGTCAACGGAAGAGATTTGATAGAGGTTACCTCCTTCACTTATCCGGCTAGGAAGTACGGTTTCAACCACAGCCAGCTAGACAGAATTGGAAAGGCAAGATACGCCTTCATCAACTTGAAACCAATATGGCAATCTTTTGCACTGACTCAGCTAGCATAAAGAACGAAATTCGGACTTCCCACACAAATGCGAAATCAGTCAGTTCATGTATATGGGTCAGGAACTTGCACTGCACACCCGTTACGAAAAGGATTTCCAACGAGTCATAGACTTTTATCAATAGCTGCCACCTTCGCCGGTTGGATCCATACTGAAGATCAGATGGTCAGCGAGAAAGAATTAGCAAGAAACTCTGCAGTGGGACAAACCAACAGGCGAGAGCCGATCGCTCAATAAATAAGTAGGAGAAAATGAAGATGGATTGATCGAAAATACGTTGAGGAGGTAGTCGAATGGCATCGTGCTCAATGTAGTCCACCACTCGAGTGGAATCACAATGAGAAGCGGCGAGTGGGTCGTCAGTGCGAGGGTGACATGGAGGAGATTGTGTGAGTTGGAGAAGCAGATGAGAGATTATGGGGAATCGTGGATCTAACCAGCTGAAGAGGACAGCAGGAGACAGATGAAGGTGAAGATTTGTCGTTGGAACCTTATGTTCCACTCGGAACCCAATAATAAATGTTGCTGACATCTAAAGAATGATAAGTATCTATAAATTCATGACGCAGGAATGGTCTACACTGACTTCTTGCTTGAGCATATGAACTGGATTGGCTGAATGTGTTAACCAATTCGCTTACATAGGAATTCTCATCTGGCCTAACGACTGGTCAGTATAAAAACAATCTAAGCATGGATAAGAAAAAGTTCGATCGGTGTTTCCCTAAATAAGTCACCTCTGGTTCAGTCATGATATCCCTCTGTGGATTAAGCAACGTATGTACCCCACAGCAGTTCATCCTTTCCTCCTTTACGTCTGTAAGATATGACCGTTAAAAGTAGAGGATATGAAGGGCATAGCCAGTTTTGACTAGAAGTTTTTTGACTTCTGTCTAACATATAAGACGGTAAAATATATGGTCAGCAATATTAAGGTTATGCGTAGTGTTCATTAAACAGGGGAAGTTGATTGATGAGGTTATGAAGATGTATCGATTAAGATTATTAAACTTCTTTATTCTCGTTCCTCTAAATTCAGGTGTAAAATCAGTTAACAACAATTTCAATCTATGCGATATTCTCCGCCATAATGGAATTATAACAATAAAACAATCCAATTATTTTACAAACAATAATGAGTGGAAATTCTCTTTGAAAATGAAAAGTGTTCATGGATATGCTTGTATGCTACACTTGGAATGCCAACAGCATAACTGTAAAGTTAGTTTGAGTTGTTAATTTTGAAAAAAGAAGCATTTTATCTATTTCTTAAGGCAATATTTACAAACCAGATCGTGAATGATCTTAGAAAGCACTTTTTCTCAGCTTTGAATATTTTAGCAGATTGGATACAGGATTTTATCATGAGCTGACATCGGTAACAGAACCATCAGAAAACCTCGAAGTACTGGACAGCCACCTGTTTCGTCCTAGTTTTAGACTCTTCATCGGTACACACCCACCGCCAGGGTTCGAACCCAGGGCTTTCTGGTTACAAGGCAAGCTCGTAGACCATTAAGCTACTGGGACCCGATCAAATGGCCACCCCATGAATTCTAACTGCTGCTTTAGATTGTCAATCTTGTCAGTTGTCTTTAAGGTTGATTCCTTACGAAGTAGCAGTTCTATGCGTACATATTTAGGTTGGTTAATTTATTAGTGAATTTATATATTTCGGGTTTTCCAGTATTTCTATTGATTTCACTCCAAACATCATCATGCACCGACATCAATTAGAGAAGTCTTGGTGACTAAGGAACACTGAGCAGCTGTTTTTGCTTCCTAGTCTTAATCTCTTCATCACTGTGCAACACTGTCTCTGTGGAACGTCATTTCCAGAAATATTCGGTTATGGGGTTACAGTTTCATGACTCACCAATGAATTATATGTGTGCAGACCAAGTTCACTTTTAACAGTTTGAAAAAAATTGGGCGTTGGGTATATGATATTGTTGATTTTATTGACGTTTCGCTATTTAATGCTGCTCCTAATAGCTTAATCAAAATAGTGACATTAAACCAGAATTTACAAAATCTCAGCTTATGTATATAACAACTTAAACGTCGTTCGTCAGCATGGGGTAATTTTTGCGTTTTCGAGTTAGCCATTTGGTAAAGATAACAAAACCAGGTGTAGACTGTTGGATTTGATAAGCGTGTAAAATTATAAAAGCAGGGTGTGTTTACATAGTGAACTTGCATATCACATTCGTGTTGATTTTGTCATTTCATGAGGAAGGGGGCTGGGTTCTTGTAACCAGGTCAAATTCTGTTTTAGTCAATCATTCCTATTCAGACAATTTGGATTCCATTTGATGATATGAAGTGCTTCTGATGATATTAGACGTTCTTTGTGATTTCTGAAATGCTTTTTCTGGATTATTTCCATATTGTCAAAATCAATTTTTTGGCCTGATTCTATAGTATGTAGACCTATGGCTGATGATTCTTCAAGCTTTTCTAGTTCACTAACTGGATTTCTCGGTGGTCGAAGAGATGCTCTACGGTGTTCATTTCATCTGATTTCGATTTCTCTCTCGCAATGTTTGTCCGATGTATATTGCATCACATCCCAAGCATTTTATTTTGTAGACACAATTAGATCGAGAATCCTTAGGGATTTGGTCTTTTACATGAACGACAAGGTTGCTTTGTAGTGTATGTGTGCGTCTGATTTTTTGAAGTAAACTCTGATGTTGTGCTTATTGAGTGCTCTTCTGATATTATCTGATGTAATTGATGGTCTATATGGAATGACAACTGTTGAGGCCCATATCTTCGGAATACGTTTTCAACCATATTTAATGTCCGTGTTGATTTTATTGATGAAATGCTGATGAACGATGATTAAGTTTGCTTTATATAAGCTGAGATTATGTAAATTCTGGTTTAATATAGCTACTTTGATGAAGTTATTAGCAGCAGCATTAAATAGCGAAACGTCAGCGAAACCAGAAATATCGTTAGGTTTTTCATTCACCTGGAAATAAAAAAACTTTTATATAAGTGAAAATCAGTGAATTAATTCAAAAATCGCGTATGTTACACAGACGAATGACAGTTTTCGTAAGAATCTCTACTTAGAGTGACACATTTTTTTATATGGCTTGACTCCACATCGTATTTTTGGTACAAGTATGGAATTTTCAGCACGTGATAGCGGTAACCCAAATTTTGCAGCGCAACCATTGATATCGTGTGTGCGTCTGCAAGGGATTGAATTCCGGACCATGTGAATGGTCGGCAGGAATCCCAACCGCCATGCCACAGACGCACAGATAGATACATTCAGCCCTAAGTATTATTCACAAATCTTTAAATATAAGACTGAATTCCTCGGTAAGGATTCATACCTAGCCTTGTAAGCAGAAGGTGCTGGTTTGGAACGCTGGCGGTAGGTGCGTACTGTTGAAGAGTCTCAAAATAAGACGACATGGCTGTCTATCTAGTACTCTCTGAGTAGTTTTCCAATAGTTCTCTAACCGATGTCAATTCATGATGAAATTCAATTTCAGTTGTTAGGTTTCGTTGCGAACCAACATCAATTAGAGAGATTATTGGAAAGTACGCAGTGGTTTCATCCTAACTTTGGACTCTTCCGCACTCCCTAGTTTTCAATGATCTCTCTAATAAATGTTCCTTCTTGTCAAAATTTAAAAATTTAAATGAACACAAAACCCTATATAATAAGAGAAATCTTAGCCCGAGCATCAGTCTCCAGATCATTGATGACTACTGTAAATGGAACTCCTGAAGCTGTACTAAGAACTAGTGACCAGTAGAGTTCATTATGGTAAAATTTGTTTTCATAAAGTCTCACAGTGTTATACAGTAAGTAATGTTTACTGATGACTATGTTTCGAGCACAATTTATTGCTGCTCATAATTATATCAAGGCATTACTCACACAACTTTCTAACCTAAACAATCAAAGTGTGATTGGACTTGGTATCAGGTCAAAATGATCCTAAAGAAATATAGCGTCAATTCGTGAAGTATGTGATGTTTAGACAAAGATAAATGTAGACAATTCTTGTTTTGTGATTGAGGCAAAGCAGCTCAAAAGTGATATACGATTGCAATAACTTAGACTTAGTGAGATATCGAATTGCCAAAGAGTAACATACCCCAACAGAATTCACCACCAGCTTGAAGCCCTATGTTCCATTGGGGAACGTGAGGGAAAAAAACTTATGGCTGACAGACAGACTAGAAATGATGCGACTACCTCGATAGTAAGTTTTTTAACAGAACTTTTGGCGTATACATGCTGTAGGAGCTTGTGGATTGCTACAGTAATAATAACAGCCTTATTCTGAAAAATGGGTTCATGCATAATACAGTAATTTCAGCGAATTTCAGCTAATCTCCTGCGTTAATTGGTGGTATAATAAAGTGAGCAATATTGAGGTTAGGCACTGGTCGAGTGCTAGGTGGTTAGGAGGGGAAATCAATCGGCGAGATTGTGAAATTATACCAATGGAGATGGTTAGGACATGTATTACACATGCTGGAGAAGAGCTAGTGGTGGTCAAAAGAGAATATGGTATCAGTCAGTGAAATGCATAACAGTTAGTTTAAGCCACGTAGGGAGGTATAGACTTCCTGGTTGAAGTCCTTAGGATGTTAAGAACCATTGGAGGCTGGAGACAGTCGGTGATTTGGTTCCAAATCGTCTTCAATGGGTGGCACAGATGCATTCACTCTTTGTGATTTATAATGTCCAAAGAAATTCTATTGTTCTTCTTTATTACCATTCTTTTTCCCTAACAACTTTTTATTATCTCTCTTTTGAACCTCCCTTTACTCTGTTCTCTTGCTTTGTGTGGTGAATGGAGGGAGTGTGGCGGCTAGAACTGGTGCACATCTGTGCAGAGTCCTACGTTGAAACCAGTCAGTCTTTGTGAATTTATTCGAAATCCATTGGTTCATCATCTTCTGGAGGATTATGATGGCCTCAGTTGTTTGTTGGAGAAATCGTAATGCAAAATTAAGGATATTTTGGATACGATAGATAACTTTATATGCCCCGTTAACATCAACGTTACATCTAGTATCTACAAGGTATGAGAAAGCAGAACTACTAGTAGACCTAACTTGTCTCTTGCTTAACCATGCAGAATGATGTAGAACTTGATAAGGACATGATAAGAAAGAGTATTCTTTGCTCAAACTGTTTTGTCTTCTTAGGGAAAAGCTGAGTAAACAAAAATGATGGTGTGTTTAACTTGTCATGTTTAGTTATGAAATGTTCCAAAGCAAATTCATTGAATTCGAACTATTTAAATATCGAATGTATCCGTTTAACTTCACAGAGTAGGTCTTTGTAACTTTCTGAATGAATAATTAAAATTTAATTCATCAAAATTTCATCAGAAATCTGTACAACACGAGGATTGCTTCACGAATTGTTTTCGTCTTTATTTATTTCATGTTTTTGCAGTTTTTTCTAAAATTTGCCAGTTATTATAGAGTTACAGTTAAGTTCAATCTAACATCCAACATTGAACACACTGAAAATTCAAAAAACGCTCCATTAGTAATAACCTTTAATTTAAACAAACCAACTAGAAATGGATCTTGGATACAAACAATTAAATTCTTTAATGGTGATAATAAGTATTTATCAAAAGTTGTACTTTATTTGAATAAAACGCTTCATTTCAATAAATGTCCGTGTGAAAATGTCAGTATTGTTCAACATAAATACATTGAAAAAGTTATGGTAAGACAGTCAGTATGTTTTATAAATAACGTTATTAAATATGAGTGTATCTGTTTTCTGATAAAAATATTTCTTGATGAAATGATTAGTCAGTAATCTTGTGAGGGTGTACACCTTCGGAGGTATTTACTGTAGTACTCCATCATAGTTCAGATAAAATATGATTACCAGTTTTGACGCCCGTACTATGAAGCCAAGTCTTAGTTAAATATGCGAATGTAGAGTTTGATTTCAAGTTCCTTGAAAAGACTTCCTTCACAATGAGTATAATGTTCTTGAAATATGTCTAGACTGATCTGTTAGTGTTTCCATATTAGATAAATTTATTTTAAATATCATACAGCGAAGCAGTATTAACAACTAGATGGTGTGGATGACCTGTGGACACTGTTATGAATAAAATCAAAAAGTCTACTAATGATCTAGTTAGCCGTGGGAAGTCATGTTTGCGTGAGTCAAAATGGTTTACTCTTATGCTTCAAAACTAATAATCCAAGTAGAATGTATGGGGCTGACAAAATTCATAAAGCATGATACCCTATTAGGATAGAAGTTGACTTTAGGAACACCCCGGCGTACGATTTATCTAAATATTTAGCATCAGTGTTATGCCTCATTAGAGATAGGTCAAATTCTAGGCTAACTAACTCCTAGGTAATGAAACAGAAACGAGAAGATATTCAATTCGAAAAGGAGGAAAATGATTAGTTTCGATATAACCAGTCTGTACGCTAATATTTCCATTAATACAGCTCTGGGGACAGTCAGGAATGAAATGAACATTGATCCAGAACTCAAAAGTAGGAATAAGATCTTGCTCGGTAGATCAAATAATATCAGGTGTTCAGTTATGTCTAATCTCCAGTGTATTCAAATTTCGAAATAAACTATATAAACAAAGGAATGGGATGGGATTGGGATCATCAATATCCCCAATAGTGGCAGAGATATTTGTGGATAGTTGAGAACATAAGGATCTTAGAAAGTATAATCCTGCTCTTGGGTTATGGTGGAGATATGTGAATGACACATTCACGTGTTAAAATCTGACCATATCCTTCATTTATATATATATATATATGCTACACTGTAGAATAAAACCAAAAGAAGATGGTGCGTTAAGTACTAGCATTTATTTAAAAACTAACACACTCTATTAAATACTTAGACTTTAATTCATCCCATCCAGAATCGGTGAAGGAGGACAGACTTAGTTAAATGTCTCTATAATCCGGCCACCAGCCTAATTACTAGTTCAGAAGATTTAAATAATGAACTCAAATAAAGGAAGCATTACTAGTGAGTAACACACTACCCACCAGAATTTATTCAGAAATGTATGAAGAACAGTAGAAAAACCAAGACTACCAATGAAAGTGACGAGATTAGTGTAGAGTTCAAAGCATCTGTAGTACTGCCTCCGTATAAAGAAGGAATTTCAGAGGCCTTACGTATCATTCTCAATGAGGCTGGAATTATTCAGGCTGGCATTTAAACCAGCCAACCAACCAATCCTCTCAAAGATAAACTTTGCCGGCTCTAGGACCCAATAGATCCATATGGGGAGAATGCTTTAATTTACAAAATATCGCGTAATGACCGTGAGGTCAATTGCATAGGCTGTCAAACTAGTAGATTGGGGTCAATTAGATTATTGAAACATAAAAATTTAGCTAGACCTAGAATGATTAACCCTGATAAGTTAAATAACGTAGAAAAAAGCCCAGCCATTGCACTGGATTCACTTGCATGTAATCACACAATAGGGTGAGTAGGACAGGGTGAGAGTATTAAAAAATAAGTTTAGTTAGGGGGTTATCGACTCAACACCACACGCGTGCAGTCGGAATGGTGCGACGCCTATAATGCAGATATGGGGAGTGACTAAAATTGATATGATTATGAGCAGGAATAACTTATACTCGAAACCTTGTCATCCATTTATTATTACTGTATTATCATCACTGTGTGATATTTGAAATAAACTTATCTAATTTATGGAATTACATTCTACCACCACAGTGCCGAAGTTCTACACTTACATTCATGATCTGTTAGTATTGCTTCAGGGAATGGTAGTTCAGAGGAAAAACCCGATTTAGACATTTATATACTCTGGTACATACACCTCACCTCATCCCATTTCCAAGATTATTACCGGCCAGGAATCGAAGGCGGTTGTCCATCATGGTTGGCGTACATTCTACCACTGATTCACTAGAGCAGTGAAGCTCCTGTACAAAGAGTAAATATTTTGCAATAAAACATTCCGAGACCTCTATACTACGAAGAAACTTAATATCATGACTATAGTTTTGGATCTTGTTATTATTTTTTCTACTCAGAGCTCTGTTTCCAGTAATTTCACTCATTGAGGCAACTTTAATAATTTTTGTATGAATAAAGAATCGCCTGCAGAATTGGAGAGTAATGCCTTATAAGGTAGAATTGATCTTGAAATTATCCAATAATTGTGCAAACATCTAACTTGATTCATCGAGAAATAATTGTGTTTTCGCCCATTATAATTAGTATCGACAAATTCTTACATAGGTGGGTTGCTAGCCTTTCTTGCCTAAACCTCTCCTCTCTACTAGTATTACTATCCGCTAGGCGAGGTTAAGATGGGCGTCGACCACTGATCGAACCCCGGATTACGTATATGCTTGGAGAGCAGCCTACCGGTGAACTACCGATGAACAGTTTACAAGCCTAGTGAAAATGTAGGAAGAATATACGCATATAATGAAACAGTATTAGAATTTCAACATTGATCAATAACTGTCTTCACTTAAAAAAACCGTTGAAAACCAAAGCGTATTGGAAAACCACCTCTTTCTTGTTTGGGACTATTCAGCAGTAAATACCCATGACTCTTCTCACTAGAAGTCAAACTCAAGACCTGATTACAAGATGATCTCTACACCACCGAGCAATTTAGATAGGATTTAATCTCCATCAATTCAAACTTCTGCCGATTCGCAATATATAAAGCATGAACTCCAGCCATTCACACCGACGAGTATTTGTCTTGACACACAACTAGTCAGACAACCTCAACGGGTAGTTAGTCACTAGTAAGCACTATATTTATTTGCATTTCAAATTGAAGTATGCGCTGAAGGCGTTCTGTCCGTCTGTCTGTTTTCTACATAAAACTTTGCACATATGTGCGGCAGTTCAAGTCGCCACACCAGATAACTATTCAGGCTTATCAGGGAAACAGGTGGCAAAAGGCAAATGATAAGTGAAACAATCTCAGAGAAAAATGGCACCATAATTAGCTCCCAGAATAGACGACTGGAACGCTGGAAAGAACACTATGAGGAGCAGTTTAATTGGCCTACAGCCACACTTAGCCTGCCGAACATCCAACACCTCCCTGAATGGGATATAGACACAGGTCCTCCGTCCTTAACTGAGGTTACTAAAGCTGTCACTAATCTGAAGCAAGGCAAAGCATCGGGACCTGATGGAATGACTCCAGAGGTATTTAACTACTGTGAAGACAGTCTACTGTCTGAATTAACTGAGGTTCTAGGCAGCATCTGGGAATCAGAGGAAATCCCGTCGGTCTGGTGTAAGTCATTGATTATCCCAGTATACAAGAAGGGAGACAAGTCTTCCTGTGATAATCACAGAGGGATTAGCTTGACCAGTATGCTATCTAAAGTTATGGGCTCAGTAATAATGCGTAGAATAAGTGGTGCTCGGGAGGCACAAACACGAGTAAACCAGGCAGGTTTTAGACCAGGAAGAGGGTGTATTGATCATATCTTCACCCTTCAACAGATTCTAGAGCATAGGTATTCCTACCGGCGTCCAACAATCATTATACTTCTTGACCTAAAGGTGGCATTCGATTCTGTCGACTGAGAGGTTCTCTGGCGATGCTTGGCTGTGAAGGGAATGCCGAGAAAATACATTGCACTCATCAAAGCACTCAACTCGTATTCATGCAGCCATGTGAGGGCTTACGGCGAGTTGTCATCTGAAGTGGTGACGACTAGTGGCGTCCATCAAGGATGCCCATTATCTCCATTTCTATTCAACTTCATCATAGATGTACTAATGGACTCAACCCTAACTCACTTCAGAGACTCAGGGATTGACTTGCTACCAGGGAATAATCTCGTTGACTTAGAATATGCGGACGATATAGTCCTTCTAGGCGAGGACGCTGACAAAATGCAGAGTCTTCTGAACACCTTAAGCTGCAATCTACGGATGTTTGGCATGCGATTCGCCCCTGCTGTCAAATGTAAAATGATGTTACAGGACTGACTGGACTACACTGACTCCTAGCTTAGAAATAGGAAGTGAAGTTGTAGAGCACGTTGACCGCTTCACTTACTTGGGAAATACCATCAGCCCCAACGGGTTGATCTCTAAAGAAATCTCAGCACGAATACACAAGGCTAGTTTCGCATATGCCAGTTTACGCCGTCTCTGGCGTAGACGTGATATCCGGCTATCGTTGCCTATTAGAGAAATGAAAGCTTCGCAAATAAACCAAACAACCAGCTTAGAGAACTCAGCAACATCAAAATTATCCATCTGAGCTACAAATCTTCCCCATTATAACTATATTTTCAAGTGTTCTTTTGCTGAGGTTCGACTGATTTCAGAGTTGGTGATGCACTAACTTCATTTAGATAGACACTGGAAACCATGGTGGTAACGCTGTACATATATGTAGCGGATTGGCAGAAGCCAGAGTTCATGTGTCATTGCATCTCGTCCCAGTGGCTGAACGGTCAATGAGTTTGCCTTGAAACACGAAATTCCTGGGTTTGATCCCCAGTGGGTAGAGCCATAGGTATGAACAACATAAACACTCCAAATAGAGACAACACAACAATCCAGTATTCCCTGGTTTTCAACGGTTCTCTAAATGTAGACAGTTCGTGATCAGTCATGAACTTAATCAATATCGCTGCAAACGAACACATTGAGAAGTTTTTACGAGTTGACCACAGGTTGAGATATCAGCTATAGAACCATTGAACACCACCAGGAAGTACTGGACAGCTGTTTCATCCTAGTTTTGGGGATCATCGGCAGTACGCACACACCGGGGTTCGAACCCAGGACCTTCCGGTCACAAGGCTAGCAAGCTCGTATACCATTCAGCCACTGGGACGCGATTCAATGCCAATGATTCCCGAAACTACGATGAAATAGTCGTCTAGTACTCCCTGGTTTTCAATGGTTCTCTAACTGATATCAATCTGTGATCAACTCGTAAAAACAAAACTAACCTTTACAAACCAACTATAGAACAATGAGAAGTGGTGACAAGTTTTCGAATGCCATTTGCGACTAATGTTTGCACCAAATTTGAAAATCTATTTCCTTTAATAATCCTTTGGATTGTTTTGTAATTACAGATATTTACCAATCAGCAAATATTACTGTATCCCATGTATTTTAAACAAATAAATAATCGACAATGTGACCGCCATTTTCATCATCAGTCAATTCAAACAAGTAAAACAAACTTCGTTCAACGTATCAATATTGATGCATTGAAATGGAATAAAGAGTAAATTGTATAATTTATCTCTTTTTTTATCAAAATATTTTTCATACTTTTTTTCTTTATAAAGAAAATTATTTTGGACAGTCAATTTGAAACTATGCCTTAGTAAATGTATTGCTGAGGAGTTCATGAAGAAGCCAACATGTTGGACAGGTAACTATATGATTCATCAACATAACTTTTAGTAATTATATATTTTCATTTATTAGTTTGTAAGGATTAGATTTGTTTTTACGAGTTGATTACGGATTGATATCAGTTAGAGAACCATTGGAAAACCAGCTGGGAGTACTGGAAAGCTGACTGTTTCATCCTAGTTTTGGAAATCATTGGCAGTAGGTACCCACACCAGGGAGGTCGAACCCAGGACCTTCCAGTTACAAGGCTAGCAAGCTCGTATACCACTCAGCCAATAGGACGCGACAGGACCCACAGGACGGAGTTTCCTGGAGTTCTAGTGGGAAGTCGTAACCAATGAGGTCCATCCAGTCAGCAGTGAGGATGGATGTCCTGCTGAAGACATTGGTTGGTAGTCGCGCTAAATAGAAGTTAGAATTCATGGGCTGGCCACTGAATCGGGTCCCAGTGGCTTGCCTTGTAACCGGAAGTTCCTGGGTTCGTACCCTGTCAGTGGCTATTTACTGTCGATGATCCCCAAACTAGGATGAAACAGCTGTCCAGTACTTCCTGGTGGTTTTCAATGGTTCTCTAACTGAAATCAATCCGTGATCAACTCGTAAAATTATATATAATTAAGTGAGATTGTATTGGCATATAGAATTATGAGTCACATTGATTAGTTATATGAATGAACAACTCATCCTATGTCTCCATGATATTATATTCACAAATTATCATTTCTGAATGTACTTTATTTTCCTATCATCTGTTTCACACATGTATATTGAACGTGAGATTGACCTCTATTTATTTATTTAATAATTTATATATCTAATCCGTTTGTTTTCTATAGTTTGGTTTGTAAGGGTTATTTACGTATTTTCCGAGTTGATCACGGGTTGATATCAGTTAGAGAACCATTGAAAAATAGGGAGTACTGGACAACTGTTTCATCCTAGTTTAGGGATCATCGACAGAACGTATCCACCGACAGGAAACGAACCCAGGAACTTCCGGTTACAAGGCAAGCTCATATACCATTCATCCACTGGGACCCGATTCATTGGCCAGCCCATGAATTCTAACTTCTACCAGTTGGTGATTTAGCGCGACCACCAACCATTATCAGTGGGACATCCGTCCCCACACGTGAGTGGATGGACCTCACTGGTTCCGACTTCACGCTAGTGACTTGCTGCATGATGCAGTTTCCTGGAGTCCTAGTGAGAAGTTGTGACTAGTGAGATTCATCAAGTCGAGTATGAGGATCGCTTTCCCACCGATGACATTGGTTGGTGGTCGCGCTAAATCACGAATTGGTAGAAGTTAGAATTCATGAGCCCATGAATAGGGTCCCAGTGGCTGAATGGTATACGAGCTTACCCTGTAACCGAAAGGTCCTGAGTCCGTACCCTGTGGGTGGGTGCGTACTTTTGATGATTCCCAAACTAGGGTGAAACAGCTGATCAGTTTGTGACTCATAATTCTATACACCAATATTATTATAACACTTTAACACACACGCATACAAAAGAAAACTGATTGTTATGGTCTATTTTAATTCATATATTTATATGTAAATGATATTAAAGGAAAGATATGATCTGTAGTTCAGTGAGGGGACTTATAAGTGAGTTCATTTTCCTCTTTAATTGTGATAACAATGGGTTTAAATAGTAATCACCTTGTGATTCATCATGTGATTCATCGTGTGATCGAATGACTGTAAAATTTCAACATCTTTTACTTTTCATGATAAAATCCTGTAACCAATCACTAGTGACTGGCCCTATTCAGATAAGTAATTACCTGACTTCTAGTGGAAAGTCCTTACCATTAGGGCACTACAAGTCGGGTGTGAGGACAAATACTCGCTACCGATGGCATTGGTTAATGGTCGCGCTATGTCGTAAGTTGGCAGAAGTTGAAATTCATGGCCTGGTCATTGGATTGTATGCCAATGGCTGAATTGTCTACGAGTTCGCCTTATAGCCCAGATGTCCTGGGTTCGAACCACACAGTGTGGGTGCTTACTGCCGGAATGTCCCAAACTAGGCTGACGAAACAGCTGGCTGTCCATTACTCCAGTTTCCCAATGGTTCTCTAACTGAGACCAGCTCGTAATGAAATTCTCTAAGTAGAATATTTTAGTTTTTCGCCGCCCTAGCCCAAATCGTCTACCAATCAGGACAGTCAATTTCCCCTGCTCTGGACCTATATTACTATGATTAGAAAATATGTAAATCTGGCGTGATTTTCCTAATAGAAATTGTATCCTAACAGTCACAGGCGGCAGTCTTAGTCAGTATTATTATACCCACACGCATCAATCCACTCACTTGGAAACAAATCATGCCAGTTAAAGCATCCTGTGGAACCTATTCAACAATATAATTTAGTTTCTCTGATATCCCTCAATGACTGTCAGGTCAAATGCATAGATCAAAGTAGTAGAACGTGGTCAGTCAGTCAGACTAGCGGAACACAAAAACCTAGCAGCTAAATCTAGATTAGTTGGCCCTCATAAGACAAGAAATTTAGAGAATAGTCAAGTCATAACCCTACATACAAATATACACAACCATACAATAGGACGGGTTGACAGTTATAAATCTAATAAAACCAACGTATTGTAGGGAGAGATCCATAACGGAAGTTTAATTTATCGAATCAACTGAAAATACATACTTATAATAGCCATAATTCAACATCTGTTCACCCGGACATCTGGAAAATTCTACTAACCTCCACGACGAATAGGAAGGAGTAAAGAGAACTATCAAAATCACGTTTCGAAGTTGTGTGGTGACATCTGGTAAGCCCGTCAACTTCTTTTTATTAGTAGGTTTATTTTTATGATACTCACAGAATGTGAAAAAGACTCTAACTCTGTAATTTCATACATTTATTCTCCGTAATGAATTTGAACAAAGCAAGAACTAAAGTTTTTGCAGAATAAAGTGGTACCACCTTCTATTTCGTTAAACCTCTCGTCAGCTGCTTACAGGCCAAAGACATTATTAAATAGATCTACGAAAACAATTTCAACATACTTGCACACAGAGTTCATTTTAAACAAAAATCAACCGATCAATACATGCATACAATAATATATACATATATATATATATATGTAATATTAAACACTATTCCGAACAACAGTAATAATCATACACAATGGAAACTTTTCAGCATTACGCATTCAAATGAAAGAGAGATGAGAAATATCCAGTTACCAGGGCAAAGAAAGACTGATAACCGCTTCTTTCTGGACGCACAAATCAGGTTTCAGGTGCTTGATGGAAATGGTTTCAACAAACTTGAGGAGAATTTAGCTCTTTTGCCTATTAATAATTTTGAACGACTCTTCGACGTCCACCTCATGACCTGTGTCGAGGAGATGCCTGGCGATGACACTATTTAAAGCATTTGTTCCCTTTAGACACAGGCTTTTTGGCACATGTTCAGAAAATCTTAAATATGTCCTTCTTTCTGTTGTTCCAATGCAACTGCTCCAGCAGATACATGTAAATTTCTATATACAGTTGGAGTTAACATAAGAAGGATATCTATCGATTTGTGCTTTCAGAAAGAAAAAGTTATCAATCTTTCTTTGACCTGGTAACTGGATATTTTCATCTCTCTTTCACCTGAATGCGTAATGCTGAAAAATTTCCATTGTGTATGATTATTATTGTTGCATATATATATTATTATTGTATGCATGTATTGATCGGTTGATTTTTGTTTAAAATGAACTCTGTGTGCAAGTATGTTGAAATTGTTTTCGTAGATCTATTTAATAATGTCTTTGGCCTGTAAGCAGCTGACGAGAGGTTTAACGAAATAGAAGGTGGTACCACTTTATTCTACAAAAACTGTAGTTCTTACTTTGTAACCTACTTAATAGTTCTTAATTAGAAATGCGAATCGACTAATTCCTATATTTTCTTGTATTGAAATTTATATATTTAGGTGAATCCACTGAGCTGTGTTCACAAGATCTTATAACATATATTGATCCATCAAAGCACATAGAGGGTATGTTTTCTTCATTTTACCTGGTACACATAAATTCTCATATATTTTTAAAAAGAAGTTTATTATAACAAATGATAATTAACAGTCTTTTCAAAGACTAATGGAATCTTATCGCATTCATTTATGGTGTGTTTTAAATGTGTCGCTATCATGATTATACATTGTCAATAAGTGATCAATAACTCATTATTAGCTACAAACTGATCACAGTGGTTTCGTTACCAGGATCACCGACATATAATCTTTCTAAAGAACGTTTTTTTTATTCCTTCACGTTCCCATTGGAACATAGGGCTTCAAGCTAGAGGCTTGAAGTTTCGGTAGCAGTGGTGTTTATTTTTACAGGATGGGGTTGCTAGCCTCATGCCCAACCTTTCCTCTTTACCAGCTTTATTACTGGCCTAGCGAGGTGACGGAGTGCGTCCATTGGCCGGGTATCGAACCCCGTACCATGTGCATGGTCGGCGAGCATCCTAACCGATTTGCCACCAACGAACTTGAAGAACTTTTTAGGAAATCAAAGTACCTAACAGAATCATGCGACCATTCTATCAATTCGTCAGTCGAATTTTTAGAGAAAATCAAAAACATTCAAGTGGATGACAATGAAATAATGGTGTCCTTTGATGTGTCACAGCATTATATACACTTCTATTCGTGCAAAACTAGTAAAAGAAACTATGCAGCAATTACTCTGTAGCGAAAACAACACAAAACTACAATGTTCAACTTGGATGGAACTCATAGAATTATGTTCTACAGCAAATTTTCAACTCAGTAATCAAATAATTTTTTAATATTTTTGATTACAGCTTGATTCCACACCGTATTTTCGGTACAGGTATGGAATTTTCAGCAGGTGATGTCGGTAGCCCAAATTTTGCAGACCGACCATAGATATCAGGTGTGCGTCGACAGAGGATCGAACTCCAGACCATGTGCATGGTCGGCGAGAGTCCTAACCACTGTGCCACCGACTCACAGATAAAAGGAGCACCAATGGGATCATCGCCCATATCAGGATTAATAGCTGAACCTGTTATGCAAAGATTAGAATTAATAGCCCTCCCTACCCATAATCAAACCAAAAATCTGGTTACGTTGATGATACATTTGTAATAGTTAAAAGAAATGATCTAGAATATACCCACAAATTAATAAACAACATATTTGAAGACATTAAATTCACAAGACAGTTAACACAGAGAATTTGGAAACACAAGTATGTAGAAAAACGATACACACTGACCAAATACTCGACTATAATAGAAATAACCCAATTACCCACAGTAGAAACTGTGTGTAGACATTGTTTGAAAGAGTTCAGACACATTGTCACACTCCGATGTCTTTATAAAGAATGAATAACCGCATAATTGCATCGAGAAGTGCCTAAACTCAAATCATAACACCAACATTGAGCTAATATCAAAGATCACAAGAAAATTCATCCTACCATATATAAAAATATATTTCGAAATAACAGTTTGAATATCAAGGCCGTTTGAAATAGATATAGCACACAAGCCAACCAGCCAGCCAGCACAAACATTACTTCATTCAATATTGCGCAAACCGAAAGATCCAACAGAGAAAGAGGATAAAATTAATACCATTTAGAAAATAATTTACATAAAATGCGATAAACACAACATCGGTCAGAGTAGGTGTCCCCTTCGAATCAAAATCCAACAACATATATTAGTTGTGAAAAGACACGAGTTGTACTGTTTCATGTCGAAGCATTTAAACAATTAAGGACACCAATTTGATTGAGATAATGTAGAAATTTCAAATAGAGGAACCATCAAAAATGCCAGAGAATTCGACAAAGCCTAGTACTTAGAAGAATCAACGATTAACAGATACACTGATATACACCAAATTTACCAACTAATAAAAAATAAGCCACATCACAAAAGAGTCCAAATTCCTAGTCAACAAAAATGATCAATGAAAACTGACAAACATTCACACACACAACGAATCACAGCAGATACAATTATATCCTAATTCTGGCAGAATTCAATTAATTTTCCATAGTTTGATTTGTAAGGGTTAGTTTTGTTTTTATGAGTTGACCACGGATTGATATCTGTTAGAGAACCATTGAAAACCAGGGAGTACTGGACAGCTGCTGTTTCATCCTAGTTTGGGAATCATCGGAAGTATGCACCCACTGGAATTCGAACCCAGGACCTTCCGATTACAAGGCAAGCTCGTATACCATTCAACCACTGGGACCCGATTTAGTGGCCAGCCCATGAATTCTAACTTCTACCACTTCGTGATTTAGCACGACCCTACCGAATGTCGTCAGTAGGACATCCATCCCAAACTAAGATGAAATAGCTGTCCAGTATCCCCAGCTGGTTTTCCAGTGGTTCTCTAACTAATATATCGACTGAGATGGTTAGGACATGTGTTACGTATTCATGCCTAGTCATCGCCTTCCTCGATGAGCGATGTTAGCTGACACAGGGTCAGTCTGGAAAAGAGCTAGCCAGCGGCGGTCAAACCAAAACATGGCACCAGTCAATGAAATCCACAACAGTTAGTTTAAGCCACGTAGGAAGGTGTAGACTTCCTGGTTGGGGTCCTCGGGACGGTAAAAACCAATGGTTGGAAACAATTGGTGACATGGCTCGAAATCGTTCTCAATGGCTGGCGCAGATGCATCCACTCCTTGTGACTTATGATTTCCAATGAAACTGTTTTGTTCTTCGTTATTACTATTCCTTTGTCTCACACCTCTGTTTACTCTCTCTATTATGCATTTCTTATACTTTCTTCTCTTGCTTTGTGTGCTACATGGAGTGTGGCGACTTGAACTGCCGCACATATGTGCGAAGTCCTATGTCGAAAACCGACCGACCGACCGTGGTCAACTTGTAGAATTCAATTAAGTTCATTTCATACTAAAACATGACCTGAAGCGGTGTTGCTTGGAAGGACAACGAAAGCTTTACAATTCAGTCGACCGGGTGAAGGAACGCGTGTAAATGTATGTTTTCAAACCATGTACACTTTGAAAGCAACTTCGATAAATACAACATACATAGTTTATTCAGAAGAGAAACAATTATAGCAAACAAGTGTACTTTCAGTAAATTCTTCTGCACGCTCTACAATTTCAGTATCCAGTGATCTTAACTTGCAATATCCAATAAGGTCAAATCAGAATTTTTATGATTGCACACTAAATTGTGTCCAACTAGGTGTCAGTCAAGTTTGGAAGGTGGCTCGTCATCAAGGTACACTCAAGATTGTGGTTATTGTTAGGTGGTCGGAGGCAGCACTGGGTGACACGGGTTCGAATCTCAGGCAGGAAATATGAGCTCCTTCAAGATTCCAAATACGCCTTGGTGACTGGTGAGTGTCTACAAGCACGAAATCTATGTCAGGCGATGCTTCCTGACGATAGCCTCCAACTATCTAATACCAACAAATCAGAATTATATATGAGAAAGTGTGTTGTGTGTGGGACAAGATGCAATAATAATAGCGAGTTAATACTGATTGTCATTTAGAATGTGTATTTTACGTACCATTGTTAAAATTAGAATAAGATATACAAGCGAACAATATTACTGTTTTCAATTAGATCTTCTTCAGACTTTGCGCCAATTTACATTAAGAATAACAATAATAATGATAATTAGATAGCTTAACGAACGTAGAACTGAGCATATTTCATTTGTGTTGCAGAAAAGGCCAGGTAAAATCTGTAGGAAGTTCTATTTTGTCTTATTTTATTGATGCTGGCGGTCACCAAATGGACAGAAGAATTGCCTTCAAAGTTATCTATCACATTCCATCAAAGAACCTCTAGAACAGAATTAGGTCCCGCCTGTCAAACACATAGCCGGAGTTGCTATGTGAATTAACTCGAGAGAACAATCCTAGTGTCTTTGCATACACTGAAAGAAGTTTGTTCTACCTTTGTCTCGCTCTTGATTAGCCTAGGTAAATTTCCAACTAGAAATACCTCCAAACCTTCCTTATTCCTTATTCGCCATTTCTTTCGTACTTTTAAGATATTTATTTAAACTCTGATTATCTATCCGCTTCACCTTTAGTATTACGTAACTTTTAAGATCTGACCTGATATGTTTATTTATTGAATTGTCTGCATATACGCCCACATATTACTACCTTCCTTATTTCTGTCTCCACCTATATAAATTCTTTGTATGTTTGTCAACATTAACCTTATAATCATTATTTTTGAATAAGGTGTTTAGAAGACAAATTTCGAGATATGATATTGTCATTTCGTAGTTTCTTTACAATCGCTTTACAATTAGGATGGTTAACAATAATACTAAAATAAAATGCATGCATGACAATTGCTCAGTTATATGAAACAAAAGTTCATAAAACTAATGACCAATCATATTTCTAAATAGGTCAAGTAGTCAGTTCATGGTAGGCGAAGGTTGAAGTCAGTTGTTCGCTGTTCACATAGTTTAGGATGTATGTTATTAATCCCCTAAAGTGCTTGTAAAGAAACGACGAAATGGTATCATATCGCCAAATTTGTCTTCTAAATACCTTTTTCAAATTTATCAAAGGGACTAACTGTTTTAATCATTATTTTTGCTATCATTATAATCATCTTTATTACTGATGTTCAAAACATTTGACCCTTATTGTTATATATATGGACTGTGATCAAGGTTTCACGAAGTAGTTCCAAAATAATTGGGCACCAACCAAGATATAAGCAAAAATTATATCTGTGAAATCTCAGTGAAATTGAAATGATCAATTCCAACGTTTCGTTGGGACAAAGTGGTGCGAACATCCTCAGGGAAACTAATCGAAATTATAGTAAAAAGGTATACATGTATAAAAAGGACATCTGTTGCCTTTAAAAACTTTTTCCAATCATATGAACATGCAACAGGCATCAAAATATCATAAACAAAAGTATATGAACTGTGATGAAAATATTAGTCTACGTGTAAACACACTGTAAAGAATGTGTACTTCTGTAT